ATCTTACCAAAACAAAAATGCATTAAATATTTATGGGTGTTATTATCCGCAGCAGTGTGTAACGATATCAATGTATTACAATTGACGATTTTATATTCTTAGATGTTTCTTTCACGGAATATAATATTAATATACATAAACATTATATAGGTAAATATTGGTTATTAAAGAAATACTATGTCACTGTGTTAGTACATAAGTATCAGTGCCATTATTGTCTTGAAACAACCATTGAATGAGAAGAAATATTAAATGTTTTAAATTGCTTTATATACTTCACGTAAACAATGTCTGTATCGTCCAACGTCGCAGGCTTTTAAAGAATGTATCAGGTAGTCTGTAGGCGTATGCAGCCATATATGGAAGACTTATTTCAGTTCAAAATCGAGCTATATGTATTTATTTTGGATGTGTATCACAAATGTTTGCGTGAAACAAAAATATGAACTTTTTTGCATACTTGAAAAATGTGTATTATACGTACAATGCACACCGTTTCAAGTGTCAAGTAAAATACCTTACAGGCATAGAAAGTGTCAATTGATATAACAAAATCTAAGTATAGATTCAGACTATTTTGCTATCTCCATAGGCAAATAAAAATATGCTTAAATGAAAATGATTATTTGTTTACCTTGTTTTCACCAGATGCAAAATGTTTTAAATATGTCCATATTACGTAGTTTTTGTGTATTTCTGTAAGCTGCCAAAACAAAGCAACACTACTCAAACTTTATGTATTATACAACAACTTCGAAACATGTTTTCCAAATTTATATAAATCAATCATGTTTGCCCGAATGGAAGACAGGATGGAACCCAACACCCATCGAAAAACCACGTGATCGCAGTGGTGACCGCATACCTTTTCATGTCCGCTCCGGGAATCAATCCCTGGATGCATAGGTGAAAGACGAATGCGTTACTACAGCTCCACCCGACCACCTAGTTTATGTTTTCTTTTTTTGTGTATTTTCCAGCAATGTTGCAAACCTTTTGTAAAATTTCATTAATAACCACCAGAAATATACAAATGTTATTTTGTGTTTACCAATAGTCAATATCTCTATATTTATGTTACAACTTACTAAAACAAGAACCAGTTGAAGCATAGCAGTTGCTGTCATAGCAGTTGCCTGAATAATTTATGCTATGTGTGCCATTTCCGTATCTCCTGCTGGACAAATAAACGAACACGTGACATCCTTATTATGTAGATCATACAGACAATACAAGAACAGGTTTAATGATAAATACGAGAGCAGTTTTGTTCTTTACATTCAAAATAATTGCACTTCGCTTAGCTTCAAAACTGCATTTGCATGGCAATGATGTCGTTTTGGATAGTCACATATTAAGCTACATACGGACACTGATGTGATACCCGAGTTGGTATTTTAGTCATAGCGATACTTGTGGTTTCATAACAAAGAACGCCACTTGTCATGTCACTGGTATAAGGCATTAGTAATGCTGATAATCTACAAATCGATATCTAGAGTCGCGATCATCTCACTATATCTTGTTATAGAAACATAAATGTATTGCCTACTTATCAACAGTATCTAAACGAAAATTACGTAAAAACAGGTGTAACTGGAGTATATGCGTCCTTCAATCTACCGAATGATATAAAGAACGCATGCGCCAAAAATGAAGTTTTTTTACACCGAGTATCTACTTACATTCACCTCTACACAGCATGTCATTTACTCGTGTTTTAATATTTATTTTCACACTACAACCTTGAAACTCGAACTCGTCTCTTTTTTGTGATAATTTGATCTGTCACATGAATGTAACCTGTGATTAAAATCCCTCAAGGAATGAAGCAGCTACATTGCTAAAAAAGACTTTGTTAAAATAGTAAAGGTGACCTTGACTTGACAATCCTGAAATTCCATCTATTGCGAGATACTTTGGCTATTTGTGTGTGATGTTTGATCTAAATCACATGAAGCCACAAGAGCGCTGAGAAGGATTTACTTCAATAGTAATAATGGCATTGACCCTGACAATACAACATAAAACGAAAACATAACCGAATCATGCCCTTTTTACGTGTGTGAAGTTTGCTCAACATTCTTAACAAATGACATCACCGGAGCGAGCGTGACCAGAATTTATTACGGATACTTACCCTAGAACCATGAAATTAAAACTTCTCCTATATAAGATCCTTTCATTCAAGTGTGAAGATTGATAAAAAGACTACAGATGAGGAAACGTGTTCTTGGGTATCCCTTTATCTCCTCCTCGTCATTCGTCGCGAGTATTAATAAAACTTTTCGACTGTTTTGACCTACATTATCATTCATGCATAATCAGGAGGAAATAAGGAAAAAACGAAAATAAATATGGCGAGTTGACGAATCTGGGGCCTATTTGACCATACTCAGAATAATGTTATATATATTTTGCATTTAACTGGTGATTTTTATCAAAATACTTTTTATTATAACTACCCATACATTTATTGTTTTTTTTACAATAAATTTTCTTATCTTTTTTTAAAAGACAATTACTGATTTAGAATGTGGCTGAGATGTACCGGTAGACTAATTTCCCCGCAGTGTGACATGCATTAATTGTAATATATATATAATATTACATTATATATATAACTTCCTGGTGACCTGTGGTTGGTGAATTCAGACCCGTGCGGGTTACAATCATGTCTATCAGGAGGATTTCAGTCTTTTGTGGAGCTTGTTTCTTCATATTTTATACACATTTATTGCGATCCGAGGGTAAGTGCTTATTTTCACCGGGATATTGACAGTAAGAGTGAGGAAAATGTGTAGATTTTTAAATGTAGCTGGTAAGAAGGCGGAACTGTTATTCATATGTTTACGATCATATGTATGCATGTGTGTATAACGTTGGGTACGAGAAAATATGAGCTTGCCTATATGCTATATTCGCTGTTTTAATTATAACTCGTTTTAGCTCGTGATTAAATTTTATATCCATTGGGTAGACATGTAATCTATAATAATCTGATAAATTTCCGAGATCAGCATTATAATGACGAAGTCGGTATCATTATATATATATACATAATTATAGAATGGTATCATTATAATGATAATTAGATACGAAGTTGATTTAATTACATCTATGATGTGAGTTCGATTTATTTATTAAGCACTACATTTGGTTGGCGGAGGTGCTTGATAACTTTCCTCTCGTATCTAAACTTTTCCATCCACGGATAGATATCATATCACGTGACCATCGAGAGCGTCACTTTGGAAAATCGACTTGAGGCTAAAGGTAAGAAGCACCGTGCTATTTTTAAAGTACCCGCCTCCCCCTTGTTTCCACTTTTCTTTATATTATGTATGTATTACGTATGTGTATTTATTATTGTACTATAGGTATTTAAGTGATAACATTTTGAGCCTTTGTAACATTGATTTGTACTGCATGTATACCACTTGCGTGGTTTTGCAGGCTGTTATGTATCACGTTGTGTAGGGGCGCTTTTGCCCCCCTCCTTCACATAATGAGTTAGTTTGTGTAATTATTTAGGCATACATGTAACTCAGTTCCAGTGTGATGTAACATGGTCTTGTATACACGTTTTTATTTTATGCCGTTTTTTTGTAATAAACGGCCAGTATCATTTCACACTTCTGTTTTACTGGTTATCTTTCACAGTGTTTGATGTTATCTATTATATCATATACTGATGTACATGAGAAGTGCTCTTCATAAATAAACATAATTTATATCTGGTACATATACTTAATTTATGTTTGGTATCATATACATATACTTAATTTATGTTTGGTATCATATACATATACTTAATTTATGTCTGATATCATATACATATACTTAATTAATGTCTGGTATCACATGCTTATATGTATATGATACATGACATTAATTAAGTATATTTGTATGTTATACCAGACATTCATTAAGTATATGTATATGATACCAGACATAAATTAAGTATCAATCCCTCGAGATGTGATGTACTTAAACAGGTCGTTTGTCGATTTGTCTTGTCAATATGTATTTTGTCAAACTTTACAGGGAACGGGATAAATATAGTAATTATTACAAAACATGTTTAAATCCTAGTCGGTACATTCGCCTGCACCACCTTGTGTGTTTGCTACCATATCTTAACATCTTGATGAAAAGCATTTCTCTTTAAAGCATGTGAGTCGGCTATCAAAAAGTGGTTGTCATGCAGACAAAATATAGTTTACAAGTGACACATTCATATACATCGATCATTCGTTGAAGTATTGGAAAGGCATATTAGTTTAACATATTTTAAATACAACAGCGACTTGATATAATCTAAAGAGAGGACAGGCCATTACAACGTGTTCTCATAATAATCACATTGTTTTATCATTTGGATCAACATATAAGTACACGGAACATACGCAGTGACAACAATGGTATGGAATTACATAGAATGGTCTTATTAAGTAAAAAATTATCCTGCTTTCGGGCTATAAGCAAGTGAGAAAGAGAGGATGGAGGTTAACATATTTAAAGATACTTAAATTCATTTGGAAGAATTTCATATCAAAATGAATTCATTCACGGGTCAGATTATGTAAATAACAATTATGTTTTCTGGTATCTAATGCAACTGTAATTTCAATGTCATGCAACTTGTCATGGTGAATTATTATGATCGTGTTGTGGGACAGAGCAAACAAATTCAAAAGTTAAATCAACAGCTCCTTTGCATGGTTCACACGAGATATCTTTTTTTCTACCCGTATATTTATGTTTCCACATTGATTTATATAAGCTTAAGGAACAATTTATTGGTTACCGCTTGTATATGTTCACACTAACTGCCCACACTTGGCTTAACCATGAAAAGGATAGAAATGATGACAATTTCGGAATATGAATACTAATGCACATGGTTATGAGACCTAACAGGATTTTTCAATGGTATTATAGATGGAGGAAAGACGATTTGCAGGTTACCAAATTGATACAACAATTGACACAAAATTATGAATCAAAAGAATTTGGCTGAAGTAGAACTGATCGTAACGCACCAGTGCCCATATGTAGCTAGGTATGTTGTCGTGTACAACTACAGAGGCTATCCAAAGCGACACGAGTGGTATGATGACTTTGCTGTACTAGAGCTTTGTGAGGTACAAGTGTTTGGTAAGTTAAATACTCAGTTATCAGTTTAAGATCTTGATATTGTTACATTTTTGACGTTATCCATCAAGCATTAAGAATACTAAAAAATAGCTCCAGTGCCTTCAACGTGCACCTGTTCTGCAGTTTTCAAGACAAAAAGTCGTTGGATATGTTTATTCTTCAATTTTTCAATTCCAGTTAAAGTAAATTGTTGAACACTGTATGGCATGCTGGTGACTTGATATCATAATCTTGAGCTATTGTCTCAATAAAAAGCAAGAAAATACCAACACAAATATAATCAAATTACAAATTCGATAAAACTACAGCAAAATATGAACAAAAGAATGGTTTACACGGAGAATCCTGATAAAGTACAAGACCGGAGGTGTAAACGTTTTCTCCTTAATCGACGAAATCTGTCAATCAAAGTAAGTAATGTTACGCTTTCAAATGAGAACATAGTATTCAACAACAGAACCAACAGGCAAACTAACTAGCATCAAACACATTTAGCTTCATATCGTACAAAGAAAAAGAATATTTCTCAATGATATTAATATAACGATCGTATAACTTCCCCTATAATCTTTATCAACCACTATATTTTGAACACGTGTGTTACGAGTTTCATTAAATGACTTTTTTAAAAGGAATTGAAACATGTGTTTGATCATCGAATATATGTAAACACCAGGTTGGAGTAGCAGAAATGTTACTATCCAGAAATGGAAAATTCACAATAGAAAATGCAAAATTATTGCGCTAATCATAAAGTTTGTTGGAAAGCTGTCCATGTTGGTTTAGTTGTAGGAAAATATAGTTTCGTGTGAACACTTTCCTCCGATATCTTCATACAATTTTTCATATCGTGTTATGGCTTAGCATTGCTGAAATTAATATTGATGATCATAAATTCCATTGTAATACATTGTAACGTACACATTTATAAGAAATAGTAATACGAAATAGCATTAATTATCATGATTCTGATAGTCACATTCCGTTGTTCTTAAAGTGAGATGATTAATAAAAATCTACAAATTCTGTGTTTGTAGGGTGTCCTATACAGAAACATGGCTATGGAAACTGCAACAAAAACTGCTCGCATAACTGTTATGGGGGCAACTGTAACGGAGTAACTGGTTCCTGCTTTTGTAAGTTATTTTGCAATTGATCAATTTTACTTCTGAAACAGTTTTTTAAAAACGTATACACATTTGTTTATTTTACTGAAAGTCATCAATTTCCAGATTATTTTTCGAGTTTATCTAATGATTTTTTTTATTGAATTCATAATTATTTTTGAAATGTTCTTGTTATGTTAACATGTTACATTGAAAACTCTAACTTCAACTTTGGTAATCAATCCCAATGAATTATTCTAATGGTTGAGTTATATTTTAGACTGTCTTCCTGGAAAGTGGGGTGATGTCTGTGATCAAGATTGTCCTACCACCTGCAAAACCAATACCTGTATACCCAATAATGGATCATGTACAGGTTAATATACTTGTAAATTAGTTATTGCATTGATCTACATACAACTGACACACTTCAAATCTCCATGTGATATGTATCAAAAAGGACCGTTTAAAATAAACACGTTATAGGTTGATAATTTTAATGACAAACTGCTGATACTTGAAAAGCTATGATAATGACAACGACATTACTGTATTCATCTTTTTTCAAAGATAGCTCACTAATTTGGATGTAGTGCAAAAATCAAATTCTATTCAGAATGGTTAAAAAATTGTTTATACTTATAGTGGTAACCAATATATTATTTCATGCTTTACTTAGAATGTAAACCAGGAAGGCATGGAGATGTATGTGACAAATATTGTCCTGTCACCTGTAATGGAACCTGTGATAAAGTCTCCAGCTATTGTAGAGGTAAATATTTCATTTATCACTAACCTACTAGAATCATCTAAATAAACAGGATACACAACCGGCAAGTAGTAGTATGACATTTGCCTGTGCCCCTGTGCCCTCATTAATTTTTTTTTAAATGGCGGCACTTCCAGTTCCTGTATGTCACGTCCCCGTCGTCATTTCCACACGTCATGTCCGGTATGTCATTTTCCGTATTTCTCAACGGGTTATCCTTCTTCCATGGTTATCCTGTTCTTACACGACAAGTCACGCCCTGGAATTATCATAATAAGAATTCTTAAAACCCCAATAAATTGGTACGATATGATTTTTGTTACCCCTCTATGTTGTACTATCCTTATGTTATACAAAAGACCAGCAACAACCGTTCTCAAGTACAAATGTTGAGTATTAGCACAAGTTACAACAATGATAATATGTATGGCATGAGTATCGAGCTTAACAAGTTACTCCTTCCACGGCCACACCCGGACTGACTCTATTTGTTGTGGTCTTACAGTTTATCCTAAAGTAATTATAATCTAATTCTGATAGGGAAAAGTGTCTTCTACTGATCTACAATTAAACCGTGACCAGTTAATGTCTCACTGGTGGAGAGCATGTCCAGCCAATGTTTCACGGCATGATTCTGACAGAAGGTGACCGCAATTAAACTGTCTGATAAGCCAGCCGGTCACATTAAGATTTAACACAAATTATGTTCTACACTTGAGCGACAAATGTCACTATTAACATCCCCCTGCCTAAGAAAACTTTCACGGTCTAAAAGTTCAGAGATAGCAAACTGCTCATGATACTCAGGCTGAGATAATATTTAGTATGTACACAAACACTGGTAAAGTTTACTTGAACAACAGTTAATTCTAAATTCTACAATTAACACAGTTCATAAGTCTGATTCAGATACTGTTAACTTCCTTAGATAAGGTACTTCTGTCAGACTGTCACTGTTTGTTCTTAAGGTATACACATCACAAAACCTTAAAACACATGTCAAGAACTGATGATACATCCAGAGTCAGTGTTCGTCCTTTATTTTTTTTTCAAAATATATACACTCTTTATTCAATTCTGGATAGTCCGTCCGCATTGGCATTTTCCTGGCCCCGTCGATACCTGATTGTATAATGAAACTGTTGTAATGCCAGTGCCCATCTTAACAGTCTCTGATTCTTTTGCTTGGTATTATCAAGCCATTTAAGTGGATTGTGGTCAGTCAAAATGGTAAAGTGAACACCACTAATATAATAGGAGAATGACTCCACACTCCAAACGATAGCTAAACATTCCTTCTCCACTGTAGTGTAATTTTGTTCCCGCGGTAGTAACTTTCTGCTGATGTACGCAATAGGGTGTTCCTTATCGTTGATATTCTGACTTAAGACCGCTCCAATAGCCACGTTGCTGGCATCAGTCTGAATGATGAAGGGCTCTTTAAAATCCGGATTTGCTGGTACCGGTGCCTTGGTCATATCGTCCTTTAGTTGGTTGAATGCATTTACAGTGTCATCCGTCCATTTGGGTTGCCTTGGTTTGTCTTTCCTTAGCATGTTGGTCAATGGAGCCGATATCTTGGCATAATCCTGAATGAAACGCCGATAGTAACCAGTCATACCTAGAAATGACCTAATCCCTTTTTTGGTTTGTGGGAGGGGGAAGTCAACCATGGCTTGAACCTTTCGACTATCTGGTTTAAGCTTTCCTTTCCCGACAATGTGTCCCAGACAGTAAAGTTCCTCTTCAACAAACTGGCATTTTAATGGCTTTACTGTTAATCCACATTCCCGAAGTTTGTCCAATACAGTCTTGAAATATTCAAGGTGTTCCTTCCATGTGTCGCTGTCTACCACTATATCATCAAAGTAAGCGACCACATGTTCTTCTCCTGCTAACAGTCTGTCCATCATCCTTGCAAATGTAGCAGGCGCTGTTTTCATACCAAAAGGCATTACCTTGAATTGGAAGTGTCCAGATTCAGTTACGAATGCTGACTTTTCCTGTGAATCTGGAGACAGAGGTATCTGCCAGTATCCCTATGCATAGTGCTGAGGTATTGAGCTTTGCCTAGCTTTTCAAATATCTCGTCCACCCTGGGTATTGGGTACCCGTCACATACAGTTACGTCGTTGAGTTTCCTGTAATCCACACATAGCCGAGTTGTAGTATCCTTCTTTTCCACCAAAACTATTGGAGATGAGTATGGACTTGAGGAAGGTGTTATATAACCACGCTCTGTCATTTCATCCAACATTTTCTTCACCTCTTGTTTTTTGGCTTGAGGAATTCTGTATGGCTGTTGTCGGATTGGTTTCTCACACGTTGTCCTCAGGCTGTGCGTAACTAACAATGTTTTTCCCGGATTAGGATTTATGACATCACTGTATTCTTGACAAAGCTGGCGGATTTCTTGGCGCTGTGACTTATTTAACAGTTTGCCAAGTGTAACATCCAGCGTTACCTCCAATGTTGAATTAGAACCGTCAAAATCAGAATCGGCGATGTCAACCTTTTCGACAAACATGACGTTTTGGACAGCTCTATTGTACTTCCGTAGTAGGTTGATATGATAAACAACTCGTTTACGACGTCCTCCAACCTTGACCTCATAGTTGACGTCGTTGACTTTCCTTATGACCCTATATGGTCCTTTCCATTGGGCGACCATTTTTGACGTGATTGATGGTAGTAATAGTAGAACCTCGTCCCCAGGTCGAAGTTCCCGTTTTGTGGCGTTCCTGTCGTACCACTCTTGGATCTTTTGCCGTTTGATTGTCATTTTTTCCTGTACTGTTTCTCTAACCATTGCGAGCTTTTCTCTCATCTGAACAACATGGTCAATGACAGATTTTCTAAGCTCCCTCTCGCCTGTCATGGCTTGCTCTAAAATCTGTAATGGCCCTCTGACCGGCCATCCATATAGCATCTCAAATGGTGAGAATCCCGTTTCCTCATGGGGTACTTCCCTATATGCAAACAATGCATATGGCAAAAGCTCGTCCCAGGCTTCCTGCTTTGACGTGCAGAGTTTCTTTAACACAGCTTTGAGAGTTGCGTTAAATCTTTCTACCTTCTTATTAGCCTGTTGGTGATATGGCGATGTTGTTATGCCCTTGATTCCCATCACACGGTAGAGTTCTTGTATCATTTTTGAGGTGAAATTTGTGCCCTGGTCTGTCAGAATAACACGAGGCACTCCTACCCTACACTCCTACCCTATTGAACAGTTCCACCAATGTGTTAGCTATGGTTTCTGCGTCCGCATTCTTTAATGCAAAAGCCTCTGGGTACCTTGTTACGTCATCCATAACGGTAAGAATTAACCTGTTCCCCTTCTTTGTTCGAGACAGTGGCCCAACAACATCCATAGATATTTTGTAAAATGGCTCACTGATGATCGGTGGTTGTCCTAATGGAGCTTTCTCGTCACCACGTCTTCTGGCGGTCTTTTGACATACGTTACAAGTACTACAGTATTCTTGTATGTCCTTAAAAATACCTGGCCAATAGAACGAATTAACGACACGCTCTTTGGTCTTTTCTATCCCTAAATGTCCCGCAAGTGGTCTGTCATGTCCCAATTTAATGATATTGAGAGGTAGTGCCTCTGGTAGTACTACCTGGACTCCATGTTGGGCTCCATTACTAGACTTCCATTTCCTACGGAGAATCCCATTTTCCCAGTACAGGGCATTCCTATCTTCCTGCACAGATTCCTCTGAACTTGCAGCTTTTCTTCGAATGTTTGCTAAAGTTGGATCTTCCTGTTGAAGCTTACTAAGCACTTCAGCATTTACAGCAGAAAGTTCAAGTGGTTCGTCTGTTGATGTTAACTGTATCGTCCTCATTGCTGTGAGATACAGTCTCACTGATGTTGTCAGTGTCCTCACCAACGTCATCGCCATGGTCCAGGTCCACATCGTTCGCCTGTCCAACATCACTTCCCTTACTGACATCCACTTGGTCCTCCTCGACGTCCGTATCGGGGTCCATTCCAACATTTACATGGCATTCCTTTGCCTTGTCCTCAGCTAGCCTTTCTTCAGCAATGTTATTACGATGTTTTGCACGCGTAACAACATTCACAGCCTTTGATTGTCTCTCTATGATGTCTACCCCCAACAGAGCTTCAGCGACAAGGTCAGGCACTAATCCAACCAACCTGAGCATGTTTACCTTCTCTGTTTTTTGGACATTTCCTCGCGAAATGCCCATACTTGTTACAATTGTAACACTGCACACTTTTCATTTGCTCTGTCGATTTCTCCTTTCTCTGGTCCCGATCAGAGGTAAAAGTTTTTCCATTTATACTTTTACCTTGCGTTGATTTGTTTATATTCCGTTTAGGTAGAATATAATCCTCTGTGGCTTCAACCACACTGCTCGACCCTTTGTTACGGCGTATCCATTGTGCTTGTGACACTGGCAATGCACTAAGAAAATATTCCTCTTTGAATCTTTCCATGACATCCTCTACTGAATCCCCAAATCTAGTAAGATATTGTTCAATTCTTGCCATAAGTCCTCTGTATGTTTCCTTAGGTTCCTTTTTGGCTGTCTGTAATAGCTTGAAATATTGGTAGGGCCTTTTCCCGTACCTGTCCATTAGGGCTTTACAAAGTTCTTCAAATGACCAATGTGCTTGAATAGCTACCTTCTCTGGCCTCACCTGTTAACAAGGCTCTCAGCTGTAGCATTTTTACTTCTTCTGTCCATCCAGCCTGTGTTGATAAAGCAGTAAACTCTTATAAGAATGTCACTATATCCTCACTCTCAGTATGATTATAAGGTTGAAGTTTCAGTCTAAACGGTGCAGGGTTAGAATTTGTCTCACTCCGTTCCTTTTGAAGTTTTGCTTTTTCAATCTCTAGTTCCAATTCTTTCACTTTCCTTTGATGTTCTCTTTCCTTTTTTCGGCGTCCATTCTTATCTTTTCTCTGTCCACTTCCCTTTGATGTTCTCTTTCTTTTTCTTCGGCGTCCATTCTCATCTTTTCTCTTTCCACTTCCATCGTCATCCTTTCTCTTTCGAAATTCATTTGGCGTTCTTTTTCCTCTTTCTCTGCTTGAATTTCGAGTCTTCTTATTTCCAACTTTGTTTGTGCTGCCGTCACCTTCGCAGTTTCCGTTTCTTCAGGCGTCGACATATTGAACAGTTCTAATGAGCGTTATACCTTTGATAACGGAGTCCTTCTCCTTAGAATGATCCTTTACCGCTGCCACCAGAATATGTTACCCCTCTATGTTGTACCATCCTTATGTTATACAAAAGACCAGCAACAACAGTTCTCAAGTACAAATGTTGTGTATTAGCACAAGTTACAACAATGATAACATGTATGGCCTGAGTATCGAGCTTAACAAGTTACTCCTTCCACGGCCACACCCGGACTGACACTATTTGCTGTGGTCTTACAGTTTATCCTAAAGTAATTATAATCTAATTCTGATAGGGAAAGTGTCTTCTACTGATCTACAATTAAACCGTGACCAGTTAATGTCTCACTGGTGGAGAGCATGTCCAGCCAATGTTTCACGGCATGATTCTGACACTAAGGTGACCGCAATTAAACTATCTGTCTGATAAGCCAGCCGGTCACATTAAGATTTAACACAAATTATGTTCTACACTTGAGCGACAAATTTCACTATTAACACTTTTATTGATGAATATATTGACAACATAGTTCCTATGCTAGGGCAAGTCCAGTTTCTTTGGGTTTTTTTTCACTTGACACAGGATGATCTTTAATGGTTCCGTTGGTACTCTGAATATGAAAACTCTAGTCGTCTTAGTGTTTGGCGAATTTTCAAACGTTTTAGTTTCACATTCTTGCGGCGACGAAGGCGGAGGTCGGTTTCACGTTCTTGGTCTTGCTGACCAGATACGTCTTTGAACATAAACTGATCATTTCGTCTCCTTCTTACTCCCTCTTGAAGAGACCCGGCGTCCTATTGCTGTGTATCACCGTCTCAGAAGCCAGTGGTATTCGTCATCGACTGCGTTTCGATTTTCCTTGCAAAATCCGAATAATCTTTTGATAAACATTCCTCATGTCCGTATCAATTTTCAACAGTATGTAATCTTTTCTGTCAACATAGCCGTCCAAAAAATCGTAATTGAAGGCGAGCATCCATAACTTTACGTAATACAGTATGAAATACCTTAATTTTATGAGGAGATCTAAACTGATCTTATCCTTGGACAATTTAGTTTCGTAAAATGCCGCCTCGGGTTCGAGACAGGTCATGTCGTGTTCTTGTAAGTTCCCCCCGAATGTTTCGTGAGGAACTTATGGCGACATATCATTGAAATATTGAAAGGGTAACAACTCCTCATTCTGAAAGTGCGGTACTTGGATATCAAATTCTACCTATGCGAAAAGGTCTCTGCTCTGTATGGCTTTTACTATTTCAGCTCCCGTGTGTGAAGGATGTACATTCCCTCGTACATGTTCAGATAATTCATCCAATGTTTGGCTTTCACCCAGTGATCTGTGTATTCAGCATTGAATTGATTCGCCGATCGCCATTTGACAAAGGCCCTTACGATCATGTTTTGTCGATGGATCACGGGTACACAGCGTTGGCATTGAATCCCAGACCTTTCAGGCAACCTTGGCCTCCCCTTATCTTCATTTGGCCCTTAATGTCCACGCGATGGTAAAAGATCGACGGACCTCCGATGATGTTTTTCTTTATAGTCAGGTGTAAATCTTTGGCCCTTTTTTGTCCATGAGTGCAAATTCGTTTCTCTGGCCTTTCAGTAGAGCCGAGCGCGTGCCACTCCCGGAACGCTGAAGGTCATCTTGAATACATCGATTTTCCGTTCTCGCAGTCTTTCACCGCTATCAGAAATGGTCCGATGTTCAGGTTACTGTACTAGACAAGAAAATTGCGGATGGTTGACATTTTACATTTAGTCCCCACGCGTTGATAGAACTCTTCTTCTTCTTTGTCCCCTCTGACGACTGCTGTAGAACTCTTCTCGGGCATACTCCGGCTAATCGTAAAAGAAGTACCCTTTCTGTTCTTTGACATGATAAGCTTTGCGAGAATTTGGTGTACAAAGTACAAGGGGCCAGGTTGTTCGTGATATCCAAGGACTGGGCTCGGAAGCCCATCGCTGGAGGTCTCACGAGTTTCTGAAGGAAGACACCATCGTGGACCAGAGCCTGTAAATGACACCAAGGTATATCGCCGGCTTCATTACGTCCTGAAACATCTGAACTGCCACAATATGAAAAGATGGTATTGATACCCTACGATAGATTTTGACGTTTACAAACTTGCGAAGAAACCTCCGTCGATGAAATCAAATTAAAGATATACCCCAAAGCCAACACAAAACATCAATCTGGTGGAGCTTAAATATTTACTCCTCCTCCTCGGTATTACGACTTGATTGATAAGAGGTGGATTAAACATGAAAATTGTGTCACCCGAGATCTTTTTGGCCGCTGCGTACGCAAACATCAAAAAACTTGTACAGAACCTGGAGAAAAGACGGCCGATTCGTGTTGAGAAAGAACAAAATTCCAAATAGACTCTCGAAACAGGCAGAGCATCAAGAAGAAAGGACAAAATTTTGTTGCAGCAGGGTAATTGTTCTGTTCATGGATTTCCAGCGGGACTAGGATACGGCCGACATGACATCTTACGAGAGTTAGAACGAATGATACAAGTACTTTCTGATGACAATCGGTGTCATGTCAAAGTACTTGTTGACGGGGGTTCTAAATTCAAACGCGGGAAAGGAAATAGTAGGAGCCTTTTTCGACGCGTCTTTGTGGGCAGAAGGAAGCCGACGTGAGTGAAATATGTAGCGAATTCGTCAAAAAAGACGCCAAGAAGTATCCCAAAGACAAAAACGTACTATATTACGTCCCTCAAAATCTCATCAAAGCTTCGTTTGCCGAAAGAGCCATCAAGACGCTTAAGAGTCGTATGGTGCATTTGTTGACCCACTTGCAAATCTTTAGATGATCACCGAGAGCATCTATCATAGATCAGCAAGGAGAGGAAAAGGATTTGGTTAAAGAGTGTTAATTGTTTTACGAACCAAAAACAAAGAAAAACGCCCATTTAAAGTGTTGGGGAATACCAACATACTGACAACTTTACAGCTACAAAGTCGGTGGCTTGGTTACAATTTCCGACCGATGCGCAAAGGAAGACTTCTCCAGTACAGACTAAAAGTCTTTTTAGGAGAAACTCAATAAAGCTTACGGACAGAATGCATATCTCGTGGAAAAGTTCGTACGCATGCGTAGGAGAGCTGAAAAAAGAGTACCCAGTGAGACGAAAATGATCGAGAGCTAGATACGATCCAAGGACTGAAGAGGCCGATATGGAGGATATAAACAGAACAGAAAAAAACAACAAACAAACAAACATGATGAGTGTGCCCATTGTTATCTGGTCCATAGACAACCCGACCATTGATGGCCACTGGGAAGTTTCAGAAAGAACGGCGACCATAAACGAAACCATAGCTACTGGTGTCTTCCGGTAGGTACGACGACACCGTCGTGGATGACAATGATAGAACCGATAGAATTATAGATATCATATACGGCACACCCTATGAAGTACTGCTCCGCGTAGGATATGTCAGTAACGTTGATAACTAAATAAGGCATCGGAAAATTGCATCTAATTAGCGGTGACGTCACGGTTACAAACGATTGCCCTTTCACTGAAGACGATAGGATCCATATGCATATCGCATCAAATGTTATTGAAATCGTTCTACAAACAAATGTTTGGTGGTACTTTCGACCCCGGAAGATACAGAGACGGAGAAATGGGACGAGGTGTCGCAAGGATGTACGCTAAGAAACTGTAAATGATTCCCGGCAACCCAATAGTAATTCAAAACCAAAAGAAAAGATTGCAGTGGGACGATAAGTAACCCCATAACAGCGGTAGACTAAATTCGACATGACAAAGACCATCGAGGAAGAACAACTACACGTCGCTATAAAGAAGTGGAGAGCAACGAACATGTTGGATCGGAGAGCTCTTCCAAGAAAGCGACCTCGCGAAAAATAAAAAAAATACTTCCAAAAAGACGACGTGGTCAGTAAGAAACATGGCATACCTTGATATTACCTCGATTCCCAGAAGTGGACTGCATTAATGGAACGTAAATGACCTATAACGATTTTTTTAAAAATAATATGACCCTGATTGAATAACACACTGTTTTACTGCAAACAAATTTATTTTCTCTTTAATCCACTGACAATAATTCTGACGGAGATGTAATGAAACTACAAGAAAATACCAACATGTCAACATAATCATAATCTAATCACAACTTCAATAAAACTAAGGCAAAATTTGAACCAAAGAAAGATTTACACAGAACTCCAGAAAAAGTAAAAGGAGAATAAGACCAGCTGTTCCAGGAGAGTAAATGCCTTCATTGTACCCGCCATGAAAACCCTTGTTCAATCCTAATGGAACATCAATGGATATTAATTGTAGCTTTTGTAAGGTGGATTGGGAACTGTATAAATTACAATTAACTTTTCTAATGAATGACAACAAATGTGGTTTCAATTTCTTTCTATTATTTTTGTAATCATATTACTGTTCCTCTGTTCTATATCATCATTTTCCTTACGTAAATTTTAGATTGCGTCTTTGGACAATGGGGTGACAAATGTGATCAGGAATGTGCTTTGAAATGTAAAGGCTGCATTCAAACCAATGGATCATGTATAGGTAACTATATGACGTGATTTTATTACTGATATAATTGCTTATTGAAAACACCTTTGCTGTATACCTATAATACAAAACGGTATGTAAAACACTACCCAACAAAAATGTTATCATTTTCTCATATGAATAAAACATATTATAATATCCAATGGGAAACTATTAGATTAAGAAGAACAGAAAAAGGAACAAGTTTTTGTTTTTAATGTCTAATTTCGAAAATTGCAAAAGGCTGAAACTGAAACAATCTTCATGATATTAACTTTGTGCATATTCATTTCTCAGTGTTTGTGATTTTTGACAAACACGCTTAGGCTATAGCTTTCAAAATCTACACTACATTTGTTACATGATATTTTGTACATTATATAATCCTACTTTTAGTAATAAATCAATGAAAGCATAGCAGTAATCATGGTTTAAATATCATTTGTATGTCACTTTAAAAAGAGGTTGCATGAACTTTTGAACACAAATCAATTTCCGTAACAATTACCACTACAGATACTGCATGAAAGCGAATTTTACTTTCAGTACACGAAAACCTCATAATCTATCAGAAGATATCAATTCCTATTCGTGAAATATCTAATGTTCAACAGCAAATGATTAAATACGCTTATTAACACTTCTCCAGTTTGTGAGTATCATGATTACAAAAAATGACATTAATCATTGTTTTTAATTGTTAGACTGCAATCCTGGAAGGTACGGACAAACATGTGACCTGTATTGTCCTACTAACTGCGCAAACGACGTCTGTGATAGAGAAACTGGTTCATGTTTCGGTAAGGGTTTACATGTTATCGACATACCAATGTCCTGTTGGTTTATGTATATACCACCTTGTGATGTAAAGATTTTATCAGCTTACCTGTTTTTAATGTCTCCTATATTTGCCACATATTTGTATTGAGACAATAGTAAAAGGATATAATGGAAAGGTCGACATTAATGATAAAAATCTAGTGTTTATTTGATGATGAAAGAAAAGAACAATTTTGTCAACATTATCATTTTCTTACCTTTGAGATTGTAAACCTGGAAAGCATGGAGAGATGTGTAACCTGGATTGTTCTGTACTGTGTGAAGGCCTTTTTTGCGAGAAAGACACAGGATTTTGTTCTGGTATGTACATAGCTATACATAAGCGCTCATTAAATCTATAGAAATGACTTGGACGTCTTTTCAAGAATAAAATATTTAATTTTCCAGAATGTAAAGACGGAATGCATGGATACCGATGTGACAAGCCATGTGCTGCTGGTTGTAGCTCCAACAGATGCAGGCGATATGACGGGACTTGTGGAGGTAGGATGACAGTTTTGAAACTTACAGGCAACGTGTCAGTTTCAAAATAAAGGACTTATGGTCATATGGGCCTAGTACTTTGTCAGGTATAGATTGTAATTTACTTGTATTGATTATACTTATTGTACAAGTACAAGTTTTAAATGTAATTTTATAGTTCATTTGATGTGAAAATAGGAATAAATAATGTGGTTGTGACTTACTTGACCAGGGTATGCTTGACAAATTGTAAATGCAGTTCCATTCTCAAAGCCTTTGCGTATTTTGCACAAAACACTAGGACATTGAGCTTGTTAAAACATTAAAGAGAAAAACAATCATTTCCAACTTCTCACTTCGACCAAAATTTTCTACGAATCCACACAAAAACTGGCGTCTTGGTCAACATATCTAAGGCAGCTGACCTTAATTGATCTCCATACGAAATATAGAGCTATCTTAGAGTGACAACATAATGATCCAAATTATTGTCACGTGAATATATACACGTGTCATTTTGGTAACTTTGTAGACAAGAAAGCATACACAAAAGATCACTCTATATCGAATACGTCTTTGCTCTTTCGTCAAGGTTTTAAACAGCCGGGTGAAAGAAACCAGATCTGTGTATGTTTCATCAATACCAGTCCGGAATTTCAATTAGTAAATATTACTGTATATTTTGATTCATTATGTATACAACAAAACCAATTGTCAAACTGGTCATTTACTAGACGCTGTATTGGGGTTGCTATTTATATGCTTGTAGTTTTAAAGTACTTTTTCCAATTACAGAAACAAATACCGCTAAAGATAACACCTGTACGGACAACAGGACAACTGTAGCTGTTCTAGCAGCTATTACTTGTATATTTCTGGTAGCAGCTATTGTCTCATTTGTCTGCATGCTGCGGTACGTCTATCAAAACTCAAAACCAATCCATGATTGTTAAAAGCGAAGTGAGAGAGGAATATAGATAACATATGATAAGCGTTCATTATAGCATTTAAATCATCGTATTACCAGAGATTGCAAATTAGTGTTTGGTTTAAAGGCCATCCTCACAATTAAAAAGACAATGCAATCTCTTCAGTTATCCTCCATATTAACGTTGTAGTTCTGTTGCGAGATAAATAGAATATTTCACCCCCTCCTCCCCCCCCCTTGGAGGTATGATAGGTGGATCTCGGTCCAAGAGGAAAGATGATTAAGTTAGCAAACACCAGACTTTTTCAAATTAATCATCTTTTCCCCAGGGTTGAGATCACACTTTCTCAACATCAAGAAAGGTAAATGATAATTTTTGGTCTGACCCCGCAGGCCTTATTATGTACTTGTGTGTATTTTTGTTGGGCCAATGATTCGCACCAGTGACGTGATTTGATGGTTGACGTGACGTCATTATATTGTTACTGTGACGTTATATCATTGTCCTGACTGAGGAACCCACCCGTTTCAACCCTAGGCTTAGACATCTCATCCCGGTAAAAATGCATGGATTTACCTTCCAGGGCAAGAGAATCATTTTAATCATATTAATTTGTCTTTAACAAGGAAAATGCGACTCTCATGAACATTTGATACGAAAGATACTTTATTTCGTTGTAGATTCAGAACAAAAGCCAAGAGAGGGCAAGGAAAAGGTATGTACGATAAAATGTATATAAAGATAATAAGAGTAATAGTATATTTATTTATTTCGGTAATTTTGGAAGTATGGCTTATTACTTCTACTTACTTTACTCTTATTGTTCATTTACAGAAGAAGAACATTACACAAACATTGACCAAGCAAAGAGAAATGTTCCGAATACCTACGAGATGACGCAGCAGAGAGATGACAAAAACTGAAAAGCAATAATCTTCAGATCAACATGAACTCGTTCAATTAAAAAAATTGAATTGATGAATAACATGCAAGCATATAATTGGATTAAACAGCTGGCTAAGCTTAATATTCAGTTCAGTGCATAGACGTATTACATACACGGACACGGAATTGAACTAAACCACCGCGGAGGGGGGAGTCGTGTCAGAAATATTACATCGCAAGCACACTTGTACATTGCTAACAAATACGTATAGAGTGGACACGAGCAAACACCCAGTCTGGGAGCATATATTGTATATAGTTGCTTGAATATATAATTCTCTGTTTGCACATACATTTATATGACATAAAATTGAAAATTAATACAGTCGTAATATGAAAGCACATCTATCTGTTTATTGCATGTCAAGTCTATCAGTCACTTAAGGAGGAAAATAATTGGGATAATTCCTATCACCATCACTTTTGCCGAATCTCAAATTCGACCACAATCACAGACCTCGTCTTCCCCGTGGTCATTCGATCTTGAGTTCTGATCAGCATCGCCAGACGTTGTTGAGTGGACAAACCAGCTAGAAAAATATGTCACGAAAAAATAAATGATTCTGTAAACTTTTCCGAAAATATCTGACCGGAACCGACAAGGGTTTTGAAGCGGCATTGTGCATCCGGACGAGTAATCAGATACGATGAGCACATATCGACAGCATTGTTATTTAATAAACAGTACTAAGTCTATTGACTAAACCATGATTAACCTCAGATATCAAACCATAGGAAATTTAGAAGAATTGTATTTGTATTTCATTAAGAAAATAATGAAGAAAAGTGAAAGATTTTCATCTGGAAAAAATTTATTTGTCGGTTGTTATGTACACAATCTTTACGTAATTGATTGCAATATGAGCAATTCGATCATCAAAACGTATTTCCTGAAAGATATAAAGTAATAGGCTATCAAAGAATAAATAAATATTTATTTATTTCATTTAACAGAAGGCTTTATAATTGTAATATCTAAACATATTTGAATATATTTAAATCAATTTGTTTATTACTTCTTTACAATGCATTATCTCGGGGGGAAAACACCAAGTGATTCCGGTGATACCAGTATGTTATTAGTCGCTTATTGTGCATCAGTGAATAGACCAAAGAATGAAGACTAAGGTAAATGGAAACACACACAATTCCTTCCAGATTAACATGATTTTTTCAACGTCTGAAAATCATTCCGACCATTACTACATTTCTTATATTCTGACATTTCTTTCGGTTTTTGAGAGTAAGGAATTATGATACCGAAGTATGGACCTAAATTTTAAGAGGGCAAGCGGTACCCCAAATTTATTGGCGTAATCTTAAATGACTCGATGTCTGACTTCACATCACAAACCTACCCTGAAACAATACGAGGATGTTTTGTAAAATTCTGGAGTAGACCTGCTACCAAATGCCAAATTTGCAAAGAAATAGAACTTTTTTAATCATTATTCAAGTTTTTCTTCATAATCACATACATCTAAATTTCACTTATATGATAACTATACTGTATTTCATTCTACAACACAATATCAGTTATAATTACATAGTATTAACGTACACATAAGAATCCATGGCTCCCACAGGATCAGTATAGTACTTCCAATCTCGCAGAAAGATCTTTTAAGTTAATCATTGAATCACTATTGTTGATAGCAATAAATAATGTTAGATATTTCAAGTTGCTTTTAATAAGATCATATAATTTGATATCAACAAATTACTTTCGAAATCAAAACAGTTTTGATTTCTGTTTTAATCATATTCCATCGACCGACAAGAAATTCAAACACTACCGTAAAATTTAAGGATATAAGGACCCCTTTGCCTTTTCTTCTTTTTTCCCCTCCAGCCACTACTGTTCTGAAAATTAAACACTTTCCAAGGCCTGTGCGAACCATGATATCAATAGAATACACACCTTTATATATACTTCATATACATGTACCATGCAATTGGCAAACTTAATTGAATAGCTGATTAATAAAAATACACTTTTCTTGTTCCTTATAGTGATATGTATAGAGTCCCATATCTTCGATTTTATTGTAATATTTGATGTAATTTTTCCGGCCAGAAATTGTAGGAGATATATTTTTTAATTTACACAAATATATATTTCGTTTCTCATTAGACGCAATCAAATTTAATTTTGATATCTTTGAACTATGTCTAATACACCAAATATAAAGATTTTTGGGTGTCTAGTTATAGTAATTTGTATTTGTTTTCCAGCGTTTCTGTCAACAAAAGCAAACAAATTTTAACAACACGGCATTCCAAATATAAATGGATGATGGTTTCCCTTTCATTTGTGCAAAAAGTACATCTCTCAGTTTCTGAGAGTTTACATTTCATCGATTATATATTGGTATATAATATACTGTGTACTATTTCATACTGAAAATTAATCAATTTTGTGTCATCAGTTACCTCCCTTGGTGTAAGGTTAATCAATTCCGAAGTTTCTTTACTTATATCAATATCTAGGATTTCCTTTCATTTTCTTTGGCTGTTCATGGGTTTTTTGCACAAATGTTCATATACGAATCATCTATTGTCGCTTTTGATATAATTATTAAGAAAAATAGGTTGTGATATCACAACTTCAGGAGTTGTGGGGGGACACATTTGTTGGCATAGAAGCCCAAACTGTAAACACTTCCCTCCATAAGTATTAACTTTTTTTTGATAATTCTGTTAATCCTTCTTTGGTCAAAATGTTATCCCCTCCAACACAAGTTGTCTAAAAGTAATGTTTTCCATGGTTTGGGGCATCAATATTTTTTTTATCCAAGACATCTTCAGTGCATGACAAAAAATCAAAACATGCGGTAAACGTAGTCCTCTTTTTCCATAATCAATTTACATTATATTTCTCTTTATTTTATCTGGCTTTCCATCCTGCAAAAATTAAAAAAAAAACAAACATAGTAATATATAAAGGAGGGTCGGGAATTACAGTTAATCCCTGGATAAAAATAGGCAACGCTAGATTTCTGATAATAGTTACTCTTCCAGTGTAATATAAATTTCTGAAAGACCAATATCTTATGAAATTTTTGACTGTATAGATGTATAGATACTGAACATTATATTATATTGATGATGTGAAATAAAACTTACCTTTCCAACATTACTATACAGATTCCACTGATATGGCGCAATAAGAATCCACTCGTGATATCTCCTTCACATTATTTTCCACTTTAAGATAGAGGATGATACTTTAATGTACATAGAATTATATACACCTGGAAAAAATCGGTTAATTCCTGTCCGTCTTATACACAACATACATTAATGCTTCACACTTGTCATTTGTCTTAAAGTGACAGTGTAGTCATCGAAACGTCTCACCCAAATCTTTTGCTGGTTGTGTTTAAAGAAGTTCTATTCCATCTATGTAACCAGCGTGAAGAAAATGTTCTGCGATATCTCTGAACAAAATCACGATGAGTCCCCATTTACACATGTAAATAGATGTATGCCTCTCTGAACTTTGATAAATGAGATATGTATCTATATCACTGGCAAAAAATTATAAAGACTAGTATTATCATTGTAGAATGGTAATGGGCGAAGCAGAGATACATGCAAATAGTTTTGTTTGTGTAATCATGTCTTTTGGGCGTGGTTATAATATCATTATCAAATAATTAATCTCAAATGCACCAACCAGAATAAATTGATACAATAGTCAGTGAAGTCTTACTATTATATATAATTTCATGGTGAAAAGCTACATTTGTTACAGATCAATAACGAAAACACCACATATGTCATGCCATTTTCAAAATTGTAAATGAAACTTTACCATCAAAATATCAACATACTTCTGCGACATTAGGACGGTAGTTGAATGTAGATATGTGTTGATATAATGAACATATGATCTTAAATTATTTCATATAAATTTTTCGGAAATAAGTTGTGGAAGTTCTTATCTATGCGAGTCTTGGAGAGATTCAACAGATTTTGAATTCTACACTGAAAACAATTTTAAGACTTTTTTAGCAGATATCTTAGTATGATAACATTTTGATCAATTTAAAGTCAAAATGAGGAACACAAAATCAAAGGAGATAGCTATATGATGCTAGGATTTTTAATTCGTACATCACGTCATTGCCCATATGCAATCCGAATCGAGTACTGATAGGCACTGAAAAACGTTCTACCACTAGTTACATATGCAAGATATTGGATGAACACTGTAGATAACTGGTAAATTATGTGATACATAAGTAATAACTAAAGTATCGTCAGTATATGATATATAAAACTGGTGTACTTACAGTCTCATACGCAAGCACACGAATACTACAGCTGTACTAGCAATTTTTGCAGCTCTCTTTCTAGTGGCAGCCGTTTTTCTGCGGTACGTTCATCAAAGTTGGGGTCGTTAATTCAAATGACTAATGACAAAATATCCAAAAGGTAATCCCGTGTTGAATCCATGGAGATAGAAGTATTACGTCTCCAAGTGTAAACATTTTTAACATGAACATTTATTATATAACGTCCAAAGTATTTTATTGCATTTACTTAGAAACATATGTGCAATATATGTAAGCAATGTATGTCTATCGAATCTTGTGCCGCCTGTAGTACCAGCAACTTCCTCGGGCTAACCGAGGTCAAAAATTTATTCTATTACTAATGTGTAATTTACTCAAGGCCCTAATATTTTGGTCGATATTAATCCGTCCTGGATTACAGTACAAAATAATTAAATGGCATTCTTAACAGCAGTTCTACAACGAAATCTGAAACAACGTTAATGATACACACTTCACACCGACATTACATATCGACGAGGACGAAATAATAAAAATGACAAGCTTCTGGTTGACAACATCTTTGTCGGGTTTGGTGGCAAGATATTCCAACAGACTATTGGCACACCTATGGGAACCAACTGCACTGTTTGCTGACTTGGTTTTTGTTTTAATATACAGGCTGAATTGATTGAAAAGCTTTACAAAACAGATCACAAAGACCTTGCAAAGTCGTTTAATTTCACTTTCAGATATACTGATGACGTCTTGTCTTTAAATAACAAGACATTTATTGACTACGTTCATCGTGTATATCCACTAGAACTGGAAATCAAAGATTAAGCATTTTTATTTTGTTTATAAAACCTTTTTCTTTATTGTAGTTAACTATTTCAATTTTTTATGTGGCCATTTTTCTATACATTATACACCATGGCTTAATGTATTCGCCACCTCAGAAAGTCGATGGAATGGAAAAAAAATAAGACACCAAAATCGAGGTATTTGTAATTTGAAAGGAAATATTACAAGCACAGAAATAGAAAAGATGTGGTGATATGGAAGAGAAAATTCATTTCCTCTGCATCTCCGTAGCTATAATTGATTGGCATTGAAATCAGATGGGAAACATTTATAACATTGTTAATGTTATTCGTCTGTCGTTTGTCTTTATATTTAGCATCGATTATAATTTTATTGTTGAATTATAAGCAAAGCAAGTACAAAGAAAAACAATATTAACAAACGATATGCAAGATTACTGCAATGTTACATTAAGGGTCATCGTTTGTGCTAACTTTTATCTTATACCACAAGGAAACCCAATATATCTACAGGTAGGTTTACAGGAGATAGGTGATTTCAAGACAATTTTAATTAAGAACCTACATCTGTGAAGAATGCATTCATTAAAAGTATCCAGTAATGTGTAATAAAAAGACATAAAGATAATGCAGGGTTTTCCACGATTGCACCAATGGTACAACGATCCTACATCCAGTTGTATGTAATGATAACTTTTATATCTTTCAGGAAATACGTTTTGATAATCGAATTGCTCGTATCGCAATCGAACATGTAAAGATTGTGCATAGAACAAAAGACAAATCTTTTCCAGATGAAAATCTCTAATTTTCTTCATTGTTTTCTTAACGAAATACAAATAAATAATACAATTCTTCTAAATTCCCTATGGCTTGATATCTGAGGTTAATCATGGTTTAGTCAATAGAACTATTAGTGCTTATTTAATAACAAAGTTGTCAATATGTACTCATCGTATCTGATTACTCGTCCGGATGAAAACACCGCTTCAAAAACCTTGTCGGTTCCGATCAGATATTCTTTGAAAAAGTTCACAGAATCATTTGTTTTTTCGTGACATAATTTTCTAGCTGGTTTGTTGACTCAACAACGTCTGGCGATGCTGATCAGAATTCAAGATCGAATGACCACGGGGAAGACGAGGTCTGTAATTGTGGTCAAATTCGAGATTCGGCAAAAGTGATGGTGATAGGAATTATCCCAATTATTTTCCTCCTTAAGTGACTGATAGACTTGACATGCAATGAACAGGTAGATGTGCTTTCATATTACGACTGTATCAATTTTCAATTTTATGACATATAAATGTATGTGCAAACAGAGAATGGTATATTTAAGCAACTATATACAATATATGCTTCCAGTCTGGGTGTTTGTTCTTGTCAACTATTTACATATTTGTTAACAATGTACAACTGCGCTTACGTTGTAATATCTTTGACACGACTCCCCCCTCCGCGGTGGTTAAGTCCAATTCTGTGTCCGTGTATGAAATACGTTATGCACTGAACTGAATATTAAGATTAGACAGCTATTTAATCCAATTATATGACTGCATGTTATTCATCAATTCAAATTTTTTCCTACTGAACGAGTTCATGTTGATCTGAAGATTATTGCTTTTCAGTTTTTGTCATCTCTCTGCTGCGTCATCTCGTAGGTATTCGGAACATTTCTCTTTGCTTTATCAATGTTTGTGTAATGTTCTTCTTCTGTAAATGAACAATAAGAGTAAAGTAAGTAGAAATAATAAGCCATACTTCCAAAATTACCGAAATAAATAAATATACTATTACTCATATCTTTATATACATCTTATCGTACATACCTTTTCCTTGCCCTCTCTTGGCTTTTGTTCTGAATCTACAACGAAATAAAGTATCCTTCGTATCAAATGTTCATGAGAGTCAACTCACATTTGACTTGTAAAAGACAAATTAATATTTTAATGTTTATATGCACAAGATATCAAGGGAAAATGATTCTCTTGCCCTGGGAGGTATATCCATGCATTTTTACCGGGATGAGATTTCCGTGTCTAAGCCTAGGGTTGAAACGGGTGGATTCCTCAGTCAGGACAATGATATAACGTCACAGTAACAATCTAATGACGTCACGTCAACTATCAATTCACGTCATTGGTGCGAATCATTGGCCCAAAAAAAATACACACAAGTACATAATAAGGCCTGCGGGGCAAGGGACAAATTAGCATTCACCTCTCTTGATGTTGAGATAGTGTGAAACAATGGGGGAAAGATGATTAATTTGAAAGCGACAAGTCTGGTGTTTGCTAACTTAATCATCTTTCACCTTGGGTCGAGATCCATCTATCATACCTCCAAGGTGGGAGGGTGAAATATTCTATTAATCTCGAAACAGAACTACAACGTTGATATGGCAGATAATTGATGAAATAGCATTTTTGTTAATTGTAAGGATGGCCTTTAAACTAAACACTAAAAAACTAATTTGCAATCTCTGGTAACACGATGATTTAAATGCTATAATGTAGGCTTATTATATGTTATCTATATTCCTCTTTCACTTCGCTTTTAACAATCATGGATTGGTTTTTAGTTTTGATAGACGTACCGCAGCATGCAGACAAATAAGACAATAGCTGCTACCAGAAATATACAAGTAATAGTTGCTAGAACAGCTACAGTTGTCCTGTTGTCCGTATCTGTAGCGGTGTTTGTTTCTGTAATTGGAAAAAGTACTTCAAAACTACAAGTATATAAATAGCAACCCCATTAAGGCGTCTAATAAATGATCAATTCGACAATTGGTTTTGCTGTATAAATAATGTATCAAAATATACAGTAATATTTACTAATTGATGAAACATACACAGATCTGGTTTCTTTCACCCGGCTGTTTAAAACCTTGACGAAAGAGCAAAGACGTATTCGATATAGAGTGATCTTTTGTGTATGCTTTCTTGTCTACAAAGTAACACAAATGACACGTGTATATATTCACGTGACAATAATTTGGATCATTATGTTGTCACTCTAAGATAGCTCTATATTTCGTATGGAGATCAATTAAGGTCATCTGCCTTTAATATGTTAATCAAGACGCAACTTTTTTTTGGTCGAAGTGAGAAATGATTATTTTCTTTTTAATGTTATAACAATCTCAATGTCCTAGTGTTTTGTGCAAAATACGCAAAGGCTTTGAGAATGGAACTGCATTTACAATTTGTCAAGCAAATCCTGGTCAAGTAAGTCACAACCACATTATTTATTCCTATTTTCACATCAAATGAAGTATAAAATTACATTTAAAACTTGTACTTGTACAATAAGTATAATCAATACAAGTAAATTACAATTTATACCTGACAAAGTACTAGGCCCATATGACCATAAGTCCTTTATTTTGAAACTGACACGTTGCCTGTAAGTTTCAAAACTGTCATCCTACCTCCACAAGTCCCGTCATATCGCCTGCATCTGTTGGAGCTACAACCAGCAGGACATGGCTTGTCACATCGGTATCCATGCATTCCGTCTTTACATTCTGGAAAATTAAATATTTTATTCTTGAAAAGACGTCCAAGTCATTTCTATAGATTTAATGAGCGCTTATGTATAGCTATGTACATACCAGAACAAAATCCTGTGTCTTTCTCGCAAAAAAGGCCTTCACAAAGTACAGAACAATCCTGGTCACACGTCTCTCCATGTTTTCCGGGTTTACAATCTCAAAGGTAAGAAAATGATATTGTTGACACAATTGTTCTCATGTAATATTACACATTAAAACCAATGTTGCTTATATCTTTTTCTGGAGAATTTGAAAATCTGCAGTATCAGTCACAAATATGTGAATATCGATATCACTAAGTGACGGAATAAATGATGGGGAATATCGAGAAGTTTTAAGTGTATTACCAACAACATATTTCAAATCAACCGTTTATGTTTGCACATGGTCAAGAATTCTTTCACCATCAAATAAATTTTATACATTAATGTCGATCTTTCCATTAGCTACTTTTACGATTGTCTCAATACATAATTACTTCATTTCGGATTTTATTTGTATGTAATCATATGGCAAATATAGGAGACATAAAAACAGGTAAGCTGATAAAATCTTTACATCACAAGGTGGTATATACATAAACCAACAGGACATTGGTATGTCGATAACATGTAAACCCTTACCGAAACATGAACCAGTTTCTCTATCACAGACGTCGTTTGCGCAGTTAGTAGGGCAATACAGGTCACATGTTTGTCCGTACCTTCCAGGATTGCAGTCTAACAATTAAAAACAATGATTAATGTCATTTTTTGTAATCATGATACTCACAAACTGGAGAAGTATTAATAAGCGTATTTAATCATTTGCTGTTGAACATTAAATATTTCACGAATAGGAATTGCTATCTCTTGATAGTGTAAGAGGTTTTCGTGTACTGTTCATCTGCGAGGATTATGGATTACTTCATATAAGTTTTTTCAATCTTCATACTCCACTGAAATTAAAACTCGCTAAGTCAGTATCTTTTGTGTTTATTTACCTCTTAATATCATAAAATGGTATAATGCAGTATCTGTAGTGGTAATGGTTACGAAAATTTATTTGTGTGCAAAAGTTCATGCAACCTCTTTTAAAAGTGACATACAAATGATGTTTGAAACAATAATTACTGCTGTGCTTTAATTGATTTTTTACTAAAAGTAGAATTATATAATGTACATATCATCATGTAACAAATGCAGTGTAGATTTTGAAAGCTATTACCTATGCGTGTTTGTCAAAAATCAGAAACACTAAGAAATTAATATGCACAAAGTTAATATCATGAAGATTGTTTCAGTTTCAGCCATGACAAATGTTAGAATTTTTTTGTTTTTTTTTCCTGTCTTTCTTAATCTGAAAGTTTCCATTTGAATATTTTAATATGTGTTTCATTGATATGAGAAAATATATCAGTAAAGTTAATAAGAAAATACAATAACATTTTTGTTGGGTAATGTTTTACATAAGTGTTTTCAATAAAGCGATTCAATCAGTAATACCTATACATGATCCATTAGTTTGAATGCAGTCTTTACATTTCAAAGCACATTCCTGATCACATTTGTCACCCCATTGTCCAAAGACGCAATCTAAAAACGACATAAAGAAAATGATGATACAGAGGAACAGTAATATGATTACAAAAATAATAGAAAGAAATTGAAACCACATTTGTTGTCATTCATTAGAAAAGTTATTTGTAATTCATACAGTTCCCAATCTACCTTGCAAACGTTACAGTTAATATCCATTGATGTTCTATTAGGATTGGACAAGGGTTTTCATGGCGGGTACAATGAAGACATTTACTCTCCTGGAACAGCTGGTCTTATTCTCCTTTTACTTTTTCTGGAGTTCTGTGTAAATCTTTCTTTGGTTCAAATTTTGCCTTAGTTTTATTGAAGTTGTGATTAGATTATGATTATGTTGACATGTTGGTATTTTCTTGTAGTTTCATTACATCTCCGTCAGAATTATTGTCAGTTGATTAAAGAGAAAATAAATTTTCTTGCAGTATAACAGTGTGTTATTCAATCAGGGTCATATTATATAAAAAATATCGTTATAGGTTTTTACGTTCAATTAATGCAGTCCACTTATGGAAATCGAGGTAATACCAATTTTAAGTATTGTAGAAATCTTATAGTAGGTATTAAAATTGTTACGTCATTAGCTTGCGTGAGAAATTACGTACGTTTCTTATAAATTTATGACGTTTCTCTCATACTAGGTGAATTGATTCTTGATGTAGGATCCATCAAATCAACGCCACTGAAACACTTTTATGGGCAAGTCGTTGGACCATAGTTGAAAGACCCGGATCCCTTTGGACAGGTAATCATCTACACATACGTTCTGGACAATGAATGTTTTTCGGTGATTTATCGCAGTATTTCTTATTGATCATTACGTCGCTGTCACACCGATCATGAAGACGGTTTACCAGTACGCTTAGCTTGTAATTGACAAGGTATATGTCCATCCTAAAGATAGATGTCCTCGTAAAGAGGTCTCTCCATGTCGAAGATTTTGCCCTCTTCGGTGAAAGTATATCTAAGACGCAATACGTTATTGGCCCCTCCAGTGATCGGTCTGGCCTCGTCCATGTCGTAGTCGGCGGCTGCGAATAGTTGAATTTGCTTCTGGAACTTTGTGACGGACCAATCGCTTAAGAGCATGTCTTCTTGGTAGCCTTCCAGGGATAGTTGCCGGTTTACCGTTCATGATGATGTTAATGATCCGCGTCTTTTCGTCTCGAACTAAAGTCGTGCCGTCGGCCTTAGACATCTTACATTTTATGTTAATTCTGCCTCTTCGCTGGTACTTGTACTCGCTTCTCCTTCAGGAAAGATTCACCTTATAGGGCTGTCCGAAGCGGATCTGCATTCCGAAATGTATATCTTCTCAATGGCTACTTGATTCAATGTTTTTGTCATCGAGGTACGTCATGTTTCTTATTGACCACGCTGTTTTTTGAGATGTATTTTCCGTTTCGCGATGTCGCTTTCCTGGAAGATCTCTCCGATCCGATCTGTCTCGTTGCTCTCTCCACATTTTTATAGCGACATTTACTTATTCTTCCTCGATGGTCTTTGTCATGTCGAATTTAGTCTACCGCTGTTATGGGGTTACTTATCGTCCCACTGCAATCTTTTCTTTTGGTTTTGAATTACTATTGGGTTGCCGGAAATAATTTACTTTTTCTTAGCGTACACCTCCCCCCTTTTTTCCGCCTCAGTAACTTCCGGGGTCGAAAGTACCACCAAATATTTGTTTGTAGAACGATTTCCAAAGCATTTGATGCGATATGCATATGGATCCTATCGTCTTTAGTGAAAGGGCAATCGTTTGTAACTGTGACGTCGCCGCTGATAATTCAGGTGGGTGCAATGTTCCGATGCCTTATTTAGATATGAACGTTACCGACGTGTCCAACGCGGAGCTGTACTTCATACGGTGTTTCGTATATGATATTTATAATTCTATCGGTTCCATCGTTCTCAACCACGACGGTGTCTTCGTACCTATCGGAATACACCAGTAACGATGGTTTCGTTTATAGTCGCCGTCCTTTCTGAAACCATTGGCCGTCAATGGCACAGTCATAAGCCTTATTACCGCGATATGTGGTCGGGCTGTCTATGGACCAGATAACAATGGGCACGCTCATCACGTTGGTGACTGTTCTTTTCTGTTCTATTTTTACCTTCCATATCGGCCTCTCCAATCCTTGGATCGTATCTTGGTCCTGATCAATTTCATCTCTCTAGGCACTCCTTTATTGAGTTTCTCCCAAAAAGACTTTTAGTTTGTACTGAAGAAGCCTTCCTTTGCGCATTGGTCGGTAACAACAAACAGTTCCCGACATCAGCATCGAAAGTTCGTTCGACGTACTGTCTTTGACACGGTTGATATTGGTACGAAATTCTAACCAAGCCACTGACTTTATAGCTGTACAGTTGTCGGTAGGTCGGTATTCCCCAACACTTTAAATAGACGTGTTTCTTTGCTTTTGGTTCGTAAAACAATTTCCACTGTTTAACCAAATTCTTTTCCTTAAAGGAAGCTGGAGGTCGTTTGCTAATACGAAGATAGATGTTGTAGCTCTCGGTGATCATCTTAAGCAACGGGTTTGCTAGTGGGTCAACAAATGCACCATACGACTCTTAAGCGTCTTGATGGCTCTTTCGGCAAATGCTTTGATGATATTTGATAATATATAGTAATATAGTACGTTTTCGTCTTTGGGATACTTCTTGACGTTTTTTTTTTTTTTTTTTTTTTTTTTTTTGACGTATTCGCTTCATTTATCACTTTCCCGCGTTTGAATTTAGAGCCGCAGTTGACAAGTATTTTGACATGGCACCGGTTGCCATCAGAAAGTACTTGTATCCTTCGTTCTAACTCTCTAACTGCCTGTTTCGAGAGTCTATTTGGAATTTTGTTTTTTCTCAACACGAATCGACCGTCTTTTCCAGGCTGTGTACAATTTATTGATGTCGGCGTACGCTGCGGCCAAATAGACCTCGTGTGACACCATTTATTGTTTAATCCACCTCTTATCACTCGAGTCGTAGTACCGGGGAGAAGGAGTAAATATTTAAGCTCCACCAGATTGATGTTTTGTGTTGGCTTTGGGGTATGTCTATTCTTTGACTTCATCGACGGAGGTCTCTTCGCAAGTTAGTAAACGTCAAGATCTATCGTAGGGTATAACAATAATAATAACAATATACAACATTTATATAGCGCACTATCTATTATGACAAAATACTCTAATGCGCTTCACAATTACATAATAATCTTACTACAAAATTTATAGAACATGTATAACACAGTAATCAACATATGTAACACAGTAACCAAATCAAGTAAGTAGTGGTGAAAGTATGTATATACAGGACGTCTGCGTGAGAGTCTAAAATGCAGACGTAAACAGGTGGGTTTTAATATCCCTCTTGAATTTGGCCAGGGATTTTGACTTTCTAGTAGCAGATGGTAAGCTGTTCCACAAAGTGGCCGCTACCTTTCCAAAGCACCGGTTACCATAAGTCACAGTCCGCACAACAAGGATTCTGTCTCCGATCGTAGTGATCGTGACAGCCGATAAACGGTGACAAGTTCCTGCAAATATTCAGGTGCTGTTCCATTTATTGCCTTGTATGTATACATCAAAATATTGTACTGTGACCGGAATCGCACGGGCAGCCAATGCAATAAGTAAAGGACTGGTGTAATGTGGTCCCTCTTTCGAGTACGGGTAACTAGGCGTGCTGCGGTGTTCTGTACCCTCTGCAGGCGGCTCATAAGTGTATCAGATACACCAACTAGTAACGCGTTACCATAGTCTAACCTAGAAGTAACAACAGAATGTACCAGTGTCTTGCATGCATGTGTGGTGATGAACTGACGGATAGCCCCAATGTTTCTGATTTGGTGATAACAGGAGCTGTTACCAGTACCATCTTTTCATATCGGGCAGTTCAGATGTCTCGGGACGTAATGAAACCATCGATTTACCTTGGTCTCATTTACAGGCTCTAGTCCACGATGGTGTCTTTTTTCAGAAACACGCGAGACCTCCAGCGATGGACTTCCGTGTCTGGTCCTTGGATATCACGAACTACCTGGCCCCTACGCCAAATTCACCAAAAGCTTACCATGTCAACAGAAGGGTACTCCTTTTACGATTAGCCGGAGTATGCCCGAGAAGAGTTATACAGCAGTCGTAAGGGGAGGTCAAGCTTGCCATAAAGTTCTGAGATTCAATGCCAACGCTGTGTACCTGTGGGCCATCGACAAAACATGAACGTAAGGGCCTTTGTCAAATGGCGGTCGGCGAATCAATTCAAAGCTGAATACACATATCACTGGATGAAAGCCAAACATTGGACGAATTATCTGAACATGTACGAGGGAATATACATCCTTCACAAAAAAAAAAAAATAAAAAACAAATCACGCGAGCTGAAATCGTGAAAGCCATCGAGAGCGGAGACATTTTTCAGATAGGTAGAATTTGACATCCAGGTACCGGACTTTTAGAATGAGGAGTTGTCACCCTTTGAATATTTCAAAGATATGGCGCCATCGGTTTACACGACGGAATTTCCTCACGAAGCATTTAGCACTCACATACAAGACACGAAGTGCCACTGTCTCGAACCCGAGGTGACATGTAAATCCACTGAAATGTCCAAGAATAAGATCAGTTTAGACCTCCTTATAAAATTAAGGTACTACAGAACGTAAAGTTGTGGATGCTCGCCTTCGATTGCGATTTTTTGGACGTGTATGTTGACAGATCCGATTACATACTGTTGAAAATTGATACGGACATGAGGAATGTTTATCAGAAAAGATTATTCGGATTTTGCAAGGAAAATCGAAACGCAGTCGATGACGAATACCACTGGCTTCTGAGACGGTGATACACAGCAATAGGACGGCGGGTCTCTTCAAGAGGGAGTAAGAAGGAGACGAATGATCAGTTTGTGTTCAAAGACGTAACTGGTCAGCAAGACCAAGAACGTGAAACCGACCTCCGCCTTCGTCGCCGTAAGAATTTAAAACTAAAACGTTTGAAAATTTGCCAAGCACTAAGACGATTAGAGCTTTCATATTCAGTTCGGAAGGCATCTCTAAACAAAACGTAAACCTTCCATTAATACCTTCCGTCGAGTGCCGATTGCTCCAGGCTCGGGTACGAACATAGGTTTTACAATCAAGGACAACACTATCTTTACTTGCGTACAGAAGTGACGAGAATTCAGTTATTTTTACTGCAAACGAAAAGTGGCGGAGTACCAACGGAACCATTAAAGATCATCCTGTGTCAAGTGAAAAAAAATCCAATGAAACTGGACTTGTCCTAGCATAGGAACAATGAACATACGAAGTTGTCATTATATTCATCAATAAAAGCGAATCGTACCAATTTATTGGGGTTTTAAGAATTCTTATTATGATAATTCCAGGGCGTGACTTGTCGTGTAAGAACAGGATGACGATGGAAGAAGGACAACCGTTGAGAATACGGAAAATGACATACCGGACATGACGTGCGGAAATGACGACGGGGACGTGACATACGGGAACTGGAGGTGCCGCCATCTAAAAAAAATAACGAGGGCACAGGGGCACAGGCAAATGTGTCTCGGGTCGAAACGCGTGTATTATACTACTACTTGCCGGTTGTGTATCCTGTTTATTTAGATCATTCTAGTAGGTTAGTGATAAATGAAATATTTACCTCTACAATAGCTGGAGACTTTATCACAGGTTCCATTACAGGTGACAGGACAATATTTGTCACAGACATCTCCATGCCTTCCTGGTTTACATTCTAAGTAAAGCATGAAGTAATGTATTGGTTACTAATATAAGTATAAACAATTTTTCAACCATTCTGAATAGAACTTGATTTTTGCACTATATCCAAATTAAATACGTTCGTGAGCTATCTTTGAAAAAAAGAATGCAGTAGTGTCGTTGTCATTATCATCTCTTTTCAAGTATCAGCAGTTTGTCATTAAAATTATCAACCTATAACGTGTTTGTTTTAAGGGTTCCTTTTTAATACATATCACATGGAGCTTTGGAGAGTGTCAGTTGTATGTAGATCAATGCAATAACTAATGTACAAGTATATTAACCTGTACACGATCCATTATTGGGTAAACAGGTATTGGTTTTACAGGTAGTAGGACAATCTTGATCACAGGCATCACCCCACATTTCAGGAAGACAGTCTAAAATATAACTCAACCAATAGAATAATTCATTAAGATTGATTATCAACCAAAAGACAAAATCATTTCAAGTCAATACAAAATTGAAGTGATACCAAACACATTTAAACAAATGGAAAAATATCCAGTGTTTCAACACGCACTTTCTTAGCATAGCATCAAATAGGCATATACTTTAACAGATCATAAACCAGATATGCCAGCTATATGTATTTCACACGTATCTTAAATTGGAAGAAGAAGCAAGAAAACTTTCTAGTCTTCCTGATAGAAGTATCATCACATGTTAATATCACCAAAAATAAACTGCTATTGTAACAATTGTATATAATTAGTATATATATTATCAATGAAGTAAAACGACAGTACAGACTTGTGAAATGTCAAATTTTCGAGGGAACCTGTCCTTTATCAAGAAACAAATATTATACAAATTACATAACATATATGAAACATAAACAGATGCAAAGTTATAAACTGATGGACGCCGAAGGCCCTTTATAAGGAACAAAACTTAAGTTGTGGTATGAAATATGGTGATTCAAATATCAAAAATGATTAATATAAATCTCGGTACCTTGTGCACTGAAGCCCCTCAGCGTATATGTGACCGCAGAGAAAAAAATCGTCTCACAATCAAAAGAAAGAATATCCTAGGATATAGTTTAGCGTTACATCTCGGCCCACTTTAATAAAGGAATTGTTTGATTAAAAAGAAACGAAAATTCATTGTAAAAATGCATGAATGTACAGTTACAATTACAAGCGTTTTGGATAAAAAGCACTTATATACACGAAAAAAATATAATTTTGAATATGGTCAAATATGCCCCAGAATCGTCAACTTGCCCACAAAAAAGTAAATCGCCACAGAAAACTAGATTATCTACTTTCGACTAACCTGGTTCTCTACTAGTTAGTCAGTCGCCTACGATGTACCGATTGCTAGCTAGGTATGTATGACCGAACGAGTTTGAAGAAGCAAGATATCTCTCGTTCATGCTGAATGGGTAGCAGGTTTGGTTTTGGTTGGTGCACTTCTGTTACATGTTTTGAAACAACCAGTTGCACTATAATGGAAAGTTGTTGATAGTTCACCATTCACGAACAGGTCTTTGATGTTTTTTCGGACTCTGATAAGCTAGTATTGGTGGTTCCGGTAAAATGTTATGAAATTTACTGGACGTCAGCAGGATTTGCCAGTGTTTCCGGAAGTTCGTTGACAATGGTGGCATGATACTCTCCTAGTTTTTGGTCACCCTTGGTATTCAAGTGTACTAGCACTGTCTAGTTCTTTCACTCTTTCGATTTCGCCGTCGATCAGAGCTGCTTTATATCCCTTTTTAAGTAGATGGGACTTCAGTTCTAAGCAACATAGTCGTCAGAAACAAAAACGTCTGACTCTCAATGCTTGGGAGTATGAAATGCCCATTGTGGTATGGGATGGGTGACAAATAGATGGGCAAAGGTACTGATGAGTGTCCGTGGGTTTACTCTATAAATCCATTCTTATTTTTCCGTTAATGAGTGTTGAATAATAAATGTCCAAGAAAGTGTTTTTCGCTCCAGACATGTCTGCAGTAAACTTAATGATCCTGTGGAATTCGTTTGCAAAACAATTGAAATTCTCAAGAGGTTCTCGACCGTATGTCCAATTAATCTCAATGTCATCAATAAATCTAAACCAGCTGAGTAGTTTCAAGATGGCTACTGCAATTAGCCAAGACTCCAGGTGGCCCATAAACATATTTGCATATGATGGTGCCATCTTTGTAGCTGTGATCTGTAGATAATGTTCCTTGTTGAATGATAAGTTTTGTTCAGCAACTTTAGAAGTTCTACGAGACTATATGTTGAAGGATGTTTGTTCTCCCTAGAGTACCATGCTGCACGCCAACCTAAGATCCTCGTGTGGAATGCTTTGGATTGTTTCTGCTGTTATAGACGGTCACATACTTGGCTACATATGGACACTGGTGCGTTACGGTCAATTGTACATCATCCTTACTGCTGCCCCTGTCTTCATAGCAGAGCACGCCGTGTGCCCAGTCCGTTGTGTTAGGCAAATACAACTGTTAACCAGCAAATCGACTTCCATACCCAACTGTGAAACAGGATTTATTTCTATGTACACATGGTGGTTTATACATGACATTTCGTCTTTTCGTTTTATTGCTTGTGAAAAACGCGGGTGAAAAGATGAAATAACGAAAGGACGTCAAACCGTGATAAAAAAAGACGTCCCTTTAACTCAACGCTTTGGCGTCATTTTACCTCTATTTGGTGTCTTTTCATTATTTCGCTTTGGCGGGTTTTCATTTTTTACCCATTTTTTCCACAGGCAACAAAATGAAAAGACGAAATGTCAGGTATACGCCACCATGTACGCACGTATACATTTAAAGAAGAATATGTTATTGTTTTGTTATACGTGTAGTATATGAAAATAAGTTCTACTTCATGCTCATTTACAAATAGTCTTTTTTTCTGATGAAATAGGTGTTTAAGACTTGGAAGTATCATCGTTATTGTTGATGGCCATTGTGTTAATGACCGTCTTAATATAGGAAAGAGGTAAAGAATTTAGATGTACATGACCATTTCCAAATTCTAGGTACATTGGTAAAGTCATTTCAGAAATTTAATATTCGATTTGGTTGTAGTGTAAGCGAAATATCTATTGTTCTACACATGTGAAATTGTTTTTGAAGACGGGTCACCCGAACGATCCAATACCAAGATAATACATCAACTGAAATCATGTGAAGATCCGGGGTGTTTTATTTTACCGTTTTCAGAAGGGATTTGAAGTTTTCCTATGATATCACTGGGTGTCAGCAATACTACTGATGATCATTTTAATGTTGCTACAGATTAATCTTGCAAGAGAATGGTCAACTTTATATAATAATTATAACAGCATCCGTACAAGCAAAAGTTAAATCCTGCAAGTTAAGTAATCGGTTTACCCTCAGAATCCAAAAGAGATTCCTTCAGGCACAGGTAACATTAGTGCTATGTGTTCAAACAACCAAAAAATGAAGACCGATTGAATTCCGACGATGAGAAGCATCGATATCCGAACACCCGCAGTGGACAGCTGTGGAAAGCTGCAGGTCGGCAGTGCGACTGTAACCAGATCATCACACTTTATCCGAAGAATGTACATTTATAGACCAACCATCCTTCGTCTGTATTCCGTGGTTCGTCTGCCATTAAGCAATTTGTTTTATACATCTTTCTTTATAATTACTGAAGCCGCCATTTTAAAATTTAACCGTGGGTTTCTCGTGGTCTCTAGATATGCATTTTCCCATTTTAAGATTGATAGGAAAAAACAAAATGGCCGACAGGCGGCTAGGTTGGATTTTGACACTTATAGTTTGTTAGCTATTTTCTTGAGAAGTATTTAATGTTTTTTGTCTCATATTGTCTGATTTTTGGATAGCAATGATGTATGATATAGCGACCTTGATTTATAGTTTGCTGTCGCGATTTATTTCTGGAGAAATTTTTCATGGATCACTTTCAAATTATATTTGAAGGGTTATCTTTGATCTATTTGTGCATATCTTATTGTAGGACTGATCTAAAAAGCAAGATGACCGACAGAGGGCGATCTTGCAGGCACACTATTTTTCTCAAATTTCAAAAGATGGTTTCCTTTGGTCATTGGTTAGCTGTGTCTTTGCTTTTGGTACTGATCAGAAAGAAAAGCATGGCTGACAGGCGGCTATCTTGGATTTTAACTATGAAAGATGATTAATTTTATCTCTTCGGAAGTTCTTGATCGATCGTTCGCATATTTCATATATTTTTCCCCATTCGTAGTGACCTAATGATTACAGGATAAAAATAGAAAATGAGAAACTTCGCAATATCATTAGAACTTTGTTGGGTTGACGATCAAATTGATCAATTTAATTCTAATCATCATACTACCTACTTATTCACGGATACACTTTATGATGACAATGATTTATTTTTATTTCCCATATACATCACAGAATAAGTCTTTGTCTATAAGTATCAGAATGTAATATATTGAATGGTTTTGTGACAAATAATTCTAATTGCGGTTTTATTTGTTCAAGTTTAATTTATTACCCAGTGACATTGATCAAATGTTTTATTTTATCAAATCCTTCTGATATTAACACTCGTTATACAATATCTAATAGTTGGCAATAACCTTTGCGTTTGCTTGATATACTGAGTATGTGGTTAAGCTTTCCTGACTGTTATTTGATTTATTCTACTTTATTTTACGTCATGTTAGAAAGAGGAAATAAACAAAATGTCTTTCTGTAGCAGCAGTAAAAGTAGTAGTAAAAGTAGTAGTATTACAGGTAGAAGTAGTACAAGCAGTAGTAGTAGTAGGTAGTAGTAGTAGAAGTAGTTGTAGTAGTTGTAGTAGTAGTAGCAAAAGTAATAGTAGGTATTATTATTATTAGTAGTAGTAGTAATAATATTAGTAGTAGAAGTAGTAGTAGTAGGTAGCAGTAGTAGCAGTTGTCATAGTTATTATCTTAGTAATACTTAAGTTTGAAATATAACTGGTTTTGTATTCATAGAAATGCACACGAAGCAAGATGATGTCAGAAGCCACATTGCTGTCGCAACCGTCAAGTATATAGATATAATTGGTAGTAGCAGTAGTGGTTGTTGTAGTGTCTTCTAAATTCGTACAATTTCATAATATGAATATAGTGTGTTATTATTATTATTTTTATTAGCATTATGACATTCTTAACGGCCTGTCAACACATAAAAGGTCATTAGAGTCATCAATTGGGGCATACAATATATAGTATCCATACGCTTCATCTTGTGTAACCATGGCTGCGGCAACCTTATCTTTTGAACCATGCTTATATTGATGTAGAAATGTTTTATATTTTAACCTCAATTTTGAGGAGGATGAACAAAAGATGCAACTGTTAGTATCTTATTTAACAATTTCATGAACAGAAAAGTCAGCTTCAGGTGAATTCAGGAGGGTCAATATTGGGTCAACATCAATAATTGAGTTTTGTAAAAGAGCGGAAATCTGAATACCGAATGGTGGAATGTTCATTGATTTGTTTTGAAACATGGTTTTATATTTTGGATCAAATACAAGTGAAAAAGCAGGATTTGAAATATTTGACTGAAGCTGAATGGTGTATTGCAAAGCCAGTTTATTTCGACGGCTATTTAATGATGGTTCGTTAGCCTCTACATAGAGGCTTGCTGTAGGTGTGGCCTTGGTGATGGACAGTGTCTAATAATTTGAGATATGAACAGATCCATACACAATGGAACCGTTGTCTAATTTTAATCTAATTAGAGCTCTCTAAAGTCTCTAAAAACAAAACTTTTCTATCAGCTCCCCATCCAGTGTGGGACACCAACTTTAGAATATTCAGTGCCTTAAGGCATTTGTCTTTAAAGTAATTATATGTGGAAGGAACGACAATTTCCTGTCGAAAATTACACCTAAGAATTTGATTTGCTCAACAATCGGAATGGGTACATCACAAAGAGACAGATGTGGATCTTCTTGTCGTTTCCGAATTTGACAAAAATGCATACAAACTGTTTTTGATTGTGAAAATTTAAATCCATTTTCATCTGCCCAAATTTGTAGTCGATTCAAACATTGTTGTAGTTGCCTTTCGATGGTATTCATATGCTTAGATCGACTGCTTATAAAGAAGTCGTCAACATAAAGAGGACCCTCTATTGAAGGGATAATGTTTTTACAATACTGTTTATTTTAAGTCCAAAAAGTAATTTTTTATAAGCCAAAACGATATTTCGCTAAAACTAACGTTTATTTTATCTTTATCCAATCGGTGCAATTTTTTAATAGTGGATGTCAATTATCTATTCAGAAATTCAAACCCGAGAAAATGTCTTATTTCATCTTAAACTTTTGGGTCGTCCTCCATTTTTTAATTGAAATAATAAAGCGGATAAAGTGCACCACGAAATAAATGTACAGAAGCGTACCTTGAACAAAGCTAATATGTACATATATCAACAACAAGAAACAATGGAACTATGCTATTTTTGCTAATAATGCATATATTTATATGCTTGAAATATCATATCTATATCTACACTATTTCTTTCGCTTGCAGTCGAAAAAAGCACAATTAATGTTAGGAATGACAAGTGAAATGAACGGATTTAATAAAGAATGAGAAATATATCGGTTATTGCTATATTGAATAAAGTCGTGGTATGTTATAACTGTTAATGTAAGTAAATATTAATCAAACATTTGATATTAGGACACTGTCTCTATCATTTCTGACATATAAGTATGTGTCATAGCTCAGTGTTGTACCGCTTGTGTAGGAGCTCTATACAAAAGAGCTATCCAAACGCTGTTCGCCACCTGTTCTAGGGTTGTCGGGATCCGTTCAATTGAAGAACCGGTTATAACAATATCTAGTTTTTCCAAAACGTCCATAGCTGCCTCACACTTCAGAATGTCGGCGTTGATGACAATTTTGTCGAGATTGTCGGTTTCAATGAGGACACGTTTGAGCTGAAAAAATGGATATGATTGCACTTTTACATAATGATTCTAAACAGTTTCCACATTCCTTCAAAAAGGCCCACAGACAAGTTCTTGAAGGTATGCGTTCCTCTCATACAATTCAATCGATGTTGCTTCCCTCAGTATATCATATCTTTTCTGGTTTAAATTTGTTGCGATACCTGTGTTTTTTTGTAGATGCCATCGTTTGAAATTGAATCAACATTGATCTTGTATACCACTTCATATCAAATATATTCTATTAAACGATAATTAAGTATGAACCATGTACAAAATACCAATGTTTTTAATATTGAAGTTATCATTACCTATGGATAGGCCTCCTAAACCGCGATAGTCGTTTCAATATATTATGACTAATCATATTTTCACCATCAGATATTGACCAACATCAAATGGCTTCTCATTGATGAAAGCTGTCTTTTTTGTTGTAATACTCGAAGTGACATCGGTAAGATAAATCAAATTCAGTTAAGTTTATTCCCAGTATATTATCATCTATGATCCTCTACACCGGTCTCAAACATACAATATTAACAATACAGTATATAAATCAACAATATAAATCAATTGTGACATCACTTCCAGTTCCTATACAATTTCGGCCACGTAATTATATAAAAGTTCTTGATCTTTCCAATCCTATAAAAATATAGAGAGAGGATCTCAGATAAGTTTTCATTTTATAAGATATTTTATCAAAATGTGTTTCAAGTTTATTCCTTCGAGCCCTGGCAAGCAAAATTTATAATTTCTAACTCATAAAAGCTACGTTTTGTTCTAATTTAAACTCAAAATTAAACGTAGGCAGAAATTTTGTCAAACAATTTTCACCTGATGCATAACATCACAATCAAATTCTGACGCGGGATCCAATGTTAAAATTTCAGGATATATATTACACTCGTATCGAGAACATTCCGCGGATAACAGGTCAATTAGGTGATCACTCCTTACTTTACGCCGATCCCTAGTTGGTCACATGTATACTACAAATGTATACAAGTAATTACTATAGATTATATATAACCTATGTACATTTTCAATAAACAACTTCGTGAAGTATAAAATTCATTACCAGGGTGAAAATGTCGCCAGAAGATCGTTCGATGAGTTTGCGGATGGTCGGAGGGGTCTCAGCCAGAATAACGGTGAGATAGTAACACCAGCCAAAGGATTCAGACTTTTCCTTCAGCTTGAGTTTGCCCGATTCCTGTTGCAAAGTAAAACATGTACTGAAAATGATGATATCGATTAGGATTTAAAAGTATACGGTAAAAATTCTCAGTATCATAAATATATTGAAACACATTTCAAAATAACGACCAAAAGAGAGCTGAGGCTCACATAGATAGTATCCCCAATACTTTTTTTCCCTTTCACTACATCTGTTGATGAGTACTTAAGATACACTTTTTTTTATTTCAGAAGAGGTCAAGTATAAATTTTGTGAGTTAGGTTGATCAATAATCACTGAAATTTAATCTGGTGTAGAACTTGATGGTGGGTCGCAATGGTGTGTGTACCAAGTAAATATCAGTTTAGCTATTCTTGAGATATCTTGTACACACCATTGATTTTATTTTAGAAGTGGTCGAGAGCGACATTTGATCTTTAACCTTTAACATTAATTAATAACCACCAAAATCATATCAGTGGTATAAGTTAGCAGTGTGATGTGTTAAGGAGAATATGAACTAAATCGGCCCAACACATGTAGGTTACGAGATATCTTGTACACGGATAGGCGCACTCACTCAGGAACGGATGACAAAAAAATGAAACTGACAGTGTATTTCATATTGATCGAGAAAGAATATAAAGAAATATTTAAATGAAAATAGAAAATATTAAATAAATTAATAGACTGCAATTACCTAGAATAATAAAAAGAAAACTAGCTCATTACACCTGCAAATTTATTGCAGGTTTCAATGATAATTACATATACTCGTAAAAACGGCTGAATATAACTACATACTAGGGGAGGAGGGAGGGGAGAAACGGGATGTAGTGGACACAGGGAATCAGCCAACATTTAGAAAATTAGGTCGACTTTTATAACTGTTTATACGTACCTGATGAAACTTCGCAAACAGCAAAATATCTCGGACACTTGAGGACATATCGTCATGCAAATCCACGTCTTCACTGCTTTCTTCTACCTTTTCAAACTAAATTCAATACATATATATATATGTGTGTGTGTGTGTGTGTGTGTGTGTGTGTGTGTGTGTGTGTGTGTGTGTGTGGATCTACGCCAAATATAATACATGACGGTGGCACAATATGAAAAACCATGACGATGTTTGAAATATACAAAGATACCATAAATTACATCCAGAACGTTACCATCTGACGTCGGAACTGTTGGTGTATATATATGGTGACGTCAAATGGGTAAACCATCTGACGAAATTACACTGTCGACAATGACAACGTAGGTAAATATACGTATTAAAATTTCTTATAATGTCGTTTATAGTCGATATAATAGTAATGACATTTTTTACTCTAAAACTACTCTTTGCACACTGTAATCGTGGTTGTGACGTAAGTTAGGAGTCATTTTTGCAATAAGTGTAACATGTTGGTGTTGACAGTGGTATGATTAGTAAACCAAAACTTCGGATTTAATCTGACTTACATTTGCATTATTGGTGTCGTCGATGTGACGGAAAACGCGTCATAGAAATTTGTGCTAAATAAAGGTGAACGTGTTTAATTCTCGTTATTTTGTCTGTTGCTTCATGTGAGACTGTGACATTACCTTCTTGCATTGATCACGGTTTACATGGCGGATGTCGTCGATGAAGCAGAAGATGTGTACTCTTCTGGAACACCTGGTCTACTTGCACTTTTTCAGGAGTCTCCGTGTAAATCATTTGTTGATATTTTGTCCAAGTTTTATCAAATTTAAGTTTGAATTATGATTATGTTGATACTTTTTTTTTTTTTTTTTTTAACTTACCAGATGATATAACCTAGTGATATCTTCGTCTGTCAGACTTTTAAATGCAGTCGCTACAGCAGGTTGGTCGGCAATCAACTGTCCGAGCTCATTTTCTATATCCTGGATATTTGATTCAAGAGTCTGTTCTTCTTCTTCTCTGACTGATAAACGATATAATTTGCAAACAACTTTTGATTTAAAAAGTCATTTGGATATCGTAGAGTAGCAGCATATTAAAACAATTTTCTCTTCGATGTCAATCTACCAAAGGTTATTTTTGTCTTCGAACTTACAAAGCACTGTTCTTCTAAACCAGTGCTTTGTAAATGATATAAAAACAAATACTGAATATTTTCTAATTTTTGATATGTATGGATATCTGAACAAAATGTATGCCGAGATACGTGTGCTTACGTGAATCAGATGTCTCCCAAAAAATCTGGATATACTGAAGAATCATTAGATTTCGTAGGCGATGTATTTTCATTGTGGGTACTTATAATCCACCAATTTATGTCAACAATTTGATAAACAGAAATTTGATTTGGATTATAGTACTAACGGATTTTGTGAGCAAGATTTATGAAAAAACCAAGTGCCATCGAAAATACATATTTTTGTAAAACTACGAAATATGCTCCTCACGAAAATATATGATTTTAGAGCAGTCAAGGACGGGTAGATTAAGCTAGAGATATGAATAACAACCTCATAAATGTTACATTCCATTGAGGTGAAAGAACAAGGTACAGTCAGTAATACTACACACAAGGATAGAATAAATGCTACATTGTAGCAGATATACCACATGTAATTAAAAAATCTAACCACTAATACTACATACATATCTACATGTACAACCAAAATCCACTGCTGCTGAACAAAACAACACACATGTATCATAAACGATTTTTCAGGGAATAGCAAATTAAAAAACTTATTATACTCGAATACCGTTTACGCATTTTTGTATAAATGAAAATGTTACATACTACTGGAGAAATTCCAGCCGTCTGCTTCAATCCTCTCTTCTAAAAATCCTGTCGTGTTTTCTTCATTTAGCGTGATGCTTCCATTCCAATCTACCTCAAGAGGTAAAATCTTATAAAGTACAGGTCCTACTACACAAGCCTTTGATTCTTCCTTCGTCTCGGAGTGAGCCTCGACTTCTGGCGCTATTGGTAAACTATCCTGTAAAAACACGCACCTGCTAACATTACAATTGTTGTACGGAAAGCATTGGTGTCTATAGCTGATCAAATAATACTAGTAATTTATGGGGTGTTCCGGCCTGGCTTTGTCATGTATTTGGTCCGTCATGTATTTGGTCCGTTTTGTTTCCTACAAATCAAAACTGTTTTACGGTGTTTATATCTCGTTAAATGTTACGTTTAAGTTCAAGTTTTATCTGGTTGTGTCTGTAAATTGTTTCGTTATCTCCTAGGTCAAATAGTCAGATAGACTAGTTCTATCGTTATAAATTAATTGTTTAATATCACCTGCCATTTTAAGTCGGCGAATGAGGGAATATTTGTTTATTTATTTATTGATGAATATGCTATTTCATAAATCGTACCGCAGAGTCTATTCCAAGTTCTGACAAACTTCCAATCTTGGCGCTGCCTTCAATCCGTCGTCGTTTGACTAATGTAGCCATCCCGTCCGTATCATCATTTGGTTTGTTGGCTTCAACAATTTTATTGATGATACAGGGAATACAACGATTCTTTTTCTTTCCTTTTATGTATCCTGATTTCATGTTGAGTTTCCTTGTAAAAGAAATACAATTATTGTTTGTGAAATGTATGTAAGATTTTTGAAATATAGCATTGAACGCGGACTTGCAATAGTATTTATGAGCGCTACAGATGACAGAACTTTGCAAGTACTTATCATATTGCGCACTAGTGGGATACATTTACATATTTGTTGCTGTTTTACAATGTACATTTACATATTTGTTGCTGTTTTACAATGTTCCTTTGCCTGACGAGTTCAATAATACTACTCAACTTGATAAAAGTTATTATGATACACCCAATAAAAGACCTGTGTCGTTTTGATGACTACACGGTCACCATCATCAAACAACTGACCAGTTTGAAACGTACTAGTATTGACACACTAAGTGTACGAGATGGTAAGGAATCAACCAACAATTTTGGCTATACGATAATATTAACACACCAGCATACTGCTATCCCAGACTCACACACGGTTGCGTAAGACATTTTTACTTATTTCTACTTGGGATCAAACAAATTATGCTCAAAAGTATTGTGTTTTATCGAAACGAGTCTAAACACCACAGAAAGTCAGGAAATCCATAGTTTTGGTAGCATTTGTAAACCTCCCATCCATCTAGAGTGTATAAATCTGTCATATACGTGTTTTGATAGGAAAAGACCGGTTGAAATTGACAGACTATGGACAGAATACGGTCGCAATAGGTAAGCCTCAGGTCACTCATTACCGGATATGGAATCAGAGCAAGAAAGCAGAAATAATACAAAATTTAAAACCATGAAAAAAAAGAAAACTGACATAATGCAAAAATATTTCACACGATCAACGCATATGAAGCTAATCGTGGAAATAAAATAGAAAAAAGTATGTACGTACGGACAGGTGTTATGTACAAGTGAACGGAGAAGTGTCTTCACAATATTTTCACGTTCCAAAATAAAGATACGAAATGGCAGCGACAAGAATTTCAGCAAGTTTGTATTAATATCAACAGACCTCTCACCATTTTATACCCTCAGCAAAAATACATTTACCAGGATTCAAGATCTCTTTCCATGTCAGCTTTTTTTATCCATGTCACCGTCAAAGTTCTCGTGGGTATGTTTATCGCTTTGTTTCCAGAGACATCCGCTGTTAGAGCACTATTGCTTCTGGCGCTGATACTTTTTGTTTCATTCAAAAGTGTCGATGGTAATGGCTTCTCCTCATTGTCCGTTAGAAAACTAAATTCCCGGTTATCGTTGTTTTCAAGAAACTCCGTTAGCTGAAAAGACCAAAGTTTAGTTTAAGCAATATGCACAATCATGCCTGAATCGGCTATTGTGAATATTGAACATTTCACTGTATAAAGAGGTCGAGTTAGAAGTAGAAGCCAAGGGCCTTAACCATCACCAAGAGTTTATCAAACCTGTTGTTGTTGCTGTTGTAACATCCGACATAGAAAGCAACCTAATAACAAAAATAACTACACTACACATTAAACGGAATTGTTCATTTTGTATAACAATAACTTTCATCATTTACTAATAATTCAAAGTTTGAATTCCCATGGAAGTTTAACAAATTGCAGAGTATCTTTGGGTTGTCAGAAAATTGTTTTGAATGTTCAGTCAATTTGACCTCATATGGCCCTGCTTAGCAGCAAACCATCAAACTGAAATCAGATACTAATAATACTAACCAAGTTTGAATTATTTCCAATTAACCAAATTACGGTCAAAGTGTAATTTTCCTATTTAGATATTCAAAATTTTAGTAAAGCATAAAGCTAAAGACTCTATCATCCATGGAGAGCATTTGATTCCTTGAGAAGAAAATGTTTACGATCAATGGGCCCCTTTCGCTGCATTCCAATTAAGTGGTCTGATGAAATCATATCGAGGGGCTATGCAACTTATCCAAGATGGCGTCTATCTCCTTAGCAGCCCCGTAGACCTATGTTCCCTAAGTATCATCATTCCATCACGGCGATGTGCGAAGTCATTACTCACTAAATTGTCGCCCATTACACTAAATGTTTCTCCTGTTCTGTTTGCTATGTTACATGTACACAGCTGAATAACGGGTTTTGACGACGTCATTGATGTTTAAAGCTATAGTTAAGTATGTAATTCGACTGACGGGTAGGTATTGACCACGTCATTGATGTTTATAGCTACAGTAAAGTATGTAATTCGACTGACGGGTTGGTATTGACCACGACATTGATGTTTATAGCTAGAGTAAAGTATGTAATTCGACTGACGGGTAGGTATTGACCACGTCATTGATGTTTATAGCTACAGTAAAGTATGTAATTCGACTGACGGGTTGGTTTTGACCACGACATTGATGTTTATAGCTAGAGTAAAGTATGTAATTCGACTGACGGGTTGGTATTGACCACGTCATTGATATTTATAGCTACAGTAAAGTATGTAATTCGACTGACGGGTTGGTATTGACCACGTCATTGATATTTATAGCTACAGTAAAGTATGTAATTCGTCTGACGGGTTGGTATTGACCACGTCATTGATGTTTATAGCTAGAGTAAAGTATGTAATTCGACTGACGGGTAGGTTTTGACCACGTCATTGATGTTTATAGCTACAGTAAAGTATGTAATTCGACTGACGGGTAGGTATTGACCACGTCATTGATGTTTATAGCTAGAGTAAAGTATGTAATTCGACTGACGGGTAGGTATTGACCTAGTCATTAAGTTTTCGAATGTACCGTTAAATGTAGACATCCTTGTTTACAATGGAGTTTTGCCGGTATTGTTTACTGCTTTTTTTGCTGTTGCTTGCTGCTGTTTGCTGCTGTTTTCTTTTATTTGTTGTTGTTTGCTGTTTTTCAGCTTTTTTACAGTTTTTTTTATGTTGTTTGCTATTTTGTGCTGCTGTTTATATCAAATTTATCGCCAATAAAAAGACAAATAGACCTACGTCCGTTACGTAACAAATTGTCAGAATAAATATAGTTTATTAATGCATATAAAAGTTTAGTGTCGTGCGCCCTTAAAGGACTGTAGGGAGAGTTGACTTTGAGACATTGTTATTGCGAAGAAGTCCGAGTGACTGTGACACAGTGTTATCACGAATCGAAAGTAAGGACGCTCTGCATAGGGAAGTGACTTTCACACACTGTGAGTAGGGAAGAACATTTGATCGGTCTATCTTCTATTGTGTAGTTTGTATATTGATTTTTTTTAGTTTATTATATAAACTGTTAATTGTTTATTGGCGTCTGTGTTGTATTTTACGTTCCAACGAAATACTATCAAGTATACCTAAATGAAAGATCCCAAAATGTATTGTCGTCCCTGACACAAATAAATACTGCGAAATTCCTTCATTACACAATAGCCTTATATATATATGAAAAAATTTCGAGTGAAAGGTGAGTTGACAACAAAATAGGAAAGAATAGGATATGGGACACCAACGGATAATTATTTAGAGATCACATGTGTAATTTTCCTGATCTTTCCGGCATACATGTAAGTATAAAAATTGTATACATACTTAAAGTGTACCCTGAGAGTAATTTTGTATTTAGATATAACGTTAAGAATGCCATAAAAATAATAATAATGAAAACCCCGTAAAAATCCGTCGCCCCAGTGTCGAGTTATGAAAGCTCAAAGTTGTCGATTTTCACCTGTCCGCCCAGACCTAATCAGCCGAATCGTCATTTCCGCGGAATCGAGGCTCTTCTACTCGTGACGTCATAAGTTCAACAGAAATGGCAGTCAACATGACTGACAGTGACAACGACACCGCAACTGAGAGCGATTTGAGCATGAGTTTTGAGGAATCTGATTATGGTGTGAATGATATGTCTGAAGATGGAATCCAGCCCTACCGATTTGAACTGGAATTACAAGACGATGTATCCAGTGAGGAGGAAAATGACCCTTCGAAAAGTGACGATCGCTTGGGCAACATAGATTGGCACGTACTTCACTGGGTCTCACCAGTAGTCGTGAAAGTAGTCGAACAGTGAATCGTCGTTTCAAAGAAACAAAATAAAATTGGGTGTGGTTTTGGACTAATTTTACTATCTTCAAGTCTCGATCAACAATTTCTGACGTCGGGAAATCGCGTTTGTGCAAGACTATGCATACATTCACGAGGTGTCGGGAATTTTCTTACCGAAGAAGTTTCGTCCGAGGGGATTTTTTCTTTCCAGGGAATTTTCGTAGCACTATGGATATATATAGATAGGGTGTCAACAACCAATTATAACACCCTCCGCTGTGTTAATAATAACAATTTGATGTTTTAGAAGTTTAAACAATTATTTGACTGGTTTTTACCCTAGCACTGGTACGCGTCTGTTGTTAGCCGACAGGCGTGTCGCCTCACCGGTGTCACAATTGTTTTTTCCAGCCACAGAGGTGCTAATTACCTAACCTGGCACAGGTGTGATTATGATTTTAGATGACATCTCTACCCGTGAACTGTGTTTTCAAATCAAGATTGGTGATATTATTGTTATTTTTACGATCGCAAAATTAATAACTAAACAACATCGTCTGCTGGAAGATCTAAAAACCAAATACACCTTATACAAACAACATACACACATAACCTATTCTATAAATTCTAATAATTCTATTCTATACTATATAATAGTAGTATGAAAATTCTCGGGTGAAAATTCCCGTGACCCATTCACGACTAGGCCTTCTCCGAGTATTAGGCGTTCACGATTACGAAGGAATAATATTCCTATGACCGCCCAAGTCATAGACTAGCCTATCAATTTAAAATGTTTAGTTGTAGAATTAATAACAAAATATCAACCTAACAAATATAATTTTATTTAATCAACAATCAGTTTTATTTATCGACGTCATGCATCGACACCCCATCCGTGTTAGTGTTAGGACAACCATACACACCGCTTCCCTCCACGATAGGAAGCCATTTTAGCGGATTTAAGCGCTAATTCACCGACCCCTCGTTCACTACCTTAGATATTGCGAAGATGTGAAGTACTTTCACGTAAATAATTATGATGTCACAGGTTTGGGTGCCCGAAAACGAGGTCAACGCCTCTCAGCCAAAGGTGTGTTTTTCAGAAAAGTCGCAATTTCTCAGTAACGGAACATTCCACGGCATTCGCGTTTTCGGCATAGTATATTTTATGTGCAGAACTATTTTTCAAGGTCAACATAGCTGACCTCTCAGGGTACACTTTAAAACATCCTGCTTTTCTACAGTCCATCATGTCACCTTTTACAAAATAAGTGGGTCTATGGAGGCGACCAGATAAAACAATAAAATAATAAATCTCTTTGTCATAAGATAAAATAAGGAGTACATTTCTAAAGATATGAGTGATTGTTAAATTGAAAACCAGTGTGACAACTAATAATTGTCTGAAGTACGAGACTTATGACGAAGTGACAATACTGATTACTCACATTTTCATTTGTTGTTGAATAACGATATTTCTCCAGTAAAGGCACAAGCCTGATGAGGAAATGTCTGGGTATTTTCCAGACAAAGTTTCCGAGTCTGATACCGGTGTTCAAAGGTTCAACCAATTTCCATTCAGCATCGCTATATTCCTCCATATTAAGAAGAACTTTTCCGAATTCTAAAGAGGTGGTCATCTACAAAACAACGAACCATAACATCGTCACTATTTTTCACAATAGCACATAGAAATGGAACATAGTAGCAATGCGTTATCAAACAAAATGTGTGTGGCAGGATCTATAATTTTAATATTTGTATTGAATTGTCTCAGTATTGTATTAGTCTTATTTATTAGTTTCGTTTATACTGTATGCGTCTAAGTGTTTAGTCTAGTTTTCGTCTGCTTATATCGTATCGTTTGGTCATTGGTCAGTTTTGTCTTTGTCTTACGTCACAATCTTGTGTCTTATTTTATTGGCTCTTGTCCATTTCGCGCTTTTTGTTTGTTCCGGTCATTGTCTGACTGGACAGTGAGGTGACCAGAGAAATTGTAAAGTCGTGCGGGTGAATATCTGCAAACCTCATGTATAACTGTAAGTTTTGCTATTTTATTATCCTGCAAACTCCACTGATTGATTTGTATCGATTACTAAAGTATATTTGGTATCAGAAGTCGGATTTAAATTACTTTCATTATCAATATTTTTTCTGTAATACTAGTTTGTACTTGTGCCGATAATCTCAAGTAATGATATTATTTGAATATCTGTATTTCTAATTTCCTATCTAGGTATATCATTATCACATAATGTTACTACCGATTTAGTTCCGTAATTTAGATCTGTACATTTGTAACTTTACAGACCCGCTCACCTGTACGATGCCGGTCATATTTACAAGACAAGATTTCCCCTATAACTCTGTGCCATACACAGGTAATTCAGCTTATGATAATTGTATTTTTAGTATGTATACAGATAATTGTACATCTGTATGTTATATTTTTATTTTCCGTACTTACCGTATAACGTACTGTATATCTATACCGAGCTAGTTCATATTTTACCGGTATATGAAATAAGTCATTCAGAACATATTGTTCAATGTAATATCTTTCGTTTATATATCCAGTGCAGTATCAACTATATCTGTAACTGTTATAGTCTTTTTATACTGTGATACGTATTAGTTGAGCCAGTGCTACATGTAAACTAGTATTGTAACCGTGACGTATTAGTTATCACGTAATAGGTGTATTGTACTTGTATATTTATCTGTGTGAAATGTGTCGTATGGTCAACTTTATTATGTACATTATCGTTATGTTGTTTTATCTTTGTTATTGCAGAGTTAATCTCTTCTCGCCTGCAATAAAAACCAGGTTAATGGTTGAGAACTTACGAAGATGTTGTTGTGGTATTTTGCCCATAACTGACCCTGTAACATGTGTTTCTTTCTTATAAGTATAAGTCATAACTTTTCAGTTCGTACATTTTGTTGAACTAGAATGAAGTTTACATGTATGCAGTTTAATATAACTATATAAACAAGGCTCTATACATCATGATTATCACGAATCTTACAACTAGATAATCTACATTGATCTATAAAGTCATTATCGTTACCACATTGTCTAAATAAGTAGGACAATTCTCCACATACTGTACTTACCTTAACTCCCCAGTCTGTTTCGCTTCGTTACGTGTTACTACTGAGTGCAGAGGTCCGTCTACAAGTACGTCCGAGAACTTGACGGGGTGTTATAAATAGGAAATTAACTGTAATGTAGATATAAGGGTTAATCAGACGGACACTTTGTATCCGGGATATAGTGTAAGAATGTAGTATGCATTTGTATATATTTGTTTGTATATTGGTGTTAACGGTCATTCGAGTCCTTTAAAAATGCATTATAGTCGTGAGATGTCAACAATCATCTCGTGTACAAATACAATATAATTTGAGCTGCATATGTAAATTGTGCATAACATTTCACCATCAAAATTATCAACATTTTTTTAATTTGAATTATTTCAATTGGCAATTTAACAAATTATGCTAAAAGACTACAGACTCTCAACATAAACTATAGTAAACTCTACCCCCTCTCCCCGGCGATAATGTGGGACTCTGCGGTCATGAAATTCACAATTTTGGTGAAGTACATTAAGGTCCTCTTTCCACGGGGAGTGTTTGATTCTACCATATCCCGGTATAGACATTTTTTTTTTATAAATTAAAGTCATTTCAAGCTTTTTGACTCCATTCGCCTGTCAGGCCCATGGGAGTCAAATAGGGTTCTAATGTCATATCATTATACTGCAATCTTATGTATACTAACAATTTTAACCACGTCGAATAGTTCTTGACGGGAAGCACGGAAATTACACTCAAATATATGTTTCTCACATAACATAATTCACTAAACTCCTTCCCCAGTAGGAAATGTGAAAGTCTGGGTTCATGAAATCCATAACTTTGATAAAGCACCTCCAGACACTTCAATAAATAAATACGAGTATTTCATTGTACTCTATCGGAGTATCTGAGCGAAATATTTTGTGATTTGATACAATTATACCGTGTTTTTATGACCGAAGGGTAAGGAGTATTTGTAATTTTCAAAATATAAGAAATAAGCCAGATAAATCAGTGAATTCCGATCGCAGCAGAAATTCACCAATACCACACAAAACTGTTATTGTTCAGACAATGACTCACCTCCGGAGTTCCCAGTGTGCTAATTTTCATATTAGCAAGGAGTGTTTACACAAATTTCGCCTATCCAATCTGACATAAGGAAAGCTATTTTGATGCTGACGAAATTTTGAAAGTCATCCGAAAGAGTTCTAAAAAGCACACAGATAGTTAGAAATTTGCCAACTTGTGTAGAATATCAATATGTGTTGCTCTGACTTTACTCTTCAGTCTATTTCCTTACGAATGTTGAGTTGAATTTACCACACTATCTCCGGCTCGGTATTTAAGCGTTTGAATTAATGTAGGTCAAGTGAACCGGTTTTACGTTTACATCGCTATATGTATGTGTGTAGTTTAGGAGCACATGTCTCTGCGCGGTCTGTTTTGAGCATGTATTTACGTGGGTGTAAATTCATGAATGTCGACAAAGTGTAACGGTTTTATGGATAGAAAGACTCTTTCGCATGTATGCTTGTTAATTTGTATAATTCATGTGCACATGCCTGCTGAAGTGTAAGTTCTAAGTACTGTGAAACGAACATTTATGAAAAGTATATCGATATGTATCTCAGTAATTTTACACAACTGTAAATAGATTTTGAATTTTTCTTTTGATTAAACTGTTAGACATTTGTATATCTTCGGTGTTCGTTAGTGATAGGCAATCGCCGATTTTATCGGATAATACTTATCACTGAATGAGGTACCCCAGCTCTAAGGAAAAACTTAAGGAGTGGATCTAGGATTATACCATGTGGCATAATTAAAATAAGTAAGTTATACCATGGCCAGATCAAAAGGAATATAACATGTTGATGTAATACATTTACATAGATAGGGTACATATACAATACACTTTGGTAACACTTTGGTATGTAAAATGACGTACCTGGTAGTTATGTAAGAAACATACGCGGGTTGTTCACAATACACGTCCACTTACCTAAGTATTGACACTTCGAGCTCTATTAAACTCCTCTTACATACACACGTGTGGAAGCAGTGGCCTTCAGCACTGTCGGATTAGGTTGCAACGGGGTCTTCCCCAACACCAACTCTGTAGAAGGCAACATGTTTACATAGGAGGTCAACTGTGATGATAGTGGATCATAGGCTGTTTTAGAATTGTAGTACAGGTAACTTGCACAGGTAAATTCTGATAACTGTTCAGAAAACAGGTAAATCAGATGATTAAGTTCTGATTCTGATAACTGTTCAGAAAATTGAAAACTGTTAATAACTGTAAAATAAAGGAATCAAATATCTGTGTTAAATCTGTTTAAATCCCAAGCTATTCAATGGGAAATGTATAAAAGCCAAGTTCATTTTGGGAAATTATCATATTTCAATCTGCACTTTCTTTGACTTTATTCCTCCAGAAATGAAGAGTACATTACAAATTTATGACAAAGAATCAGAAAATTAATACAAATATATAAGGTACATACAATATTAATGACAATAAGGAATAGTACTTAGACGAAAATAGCCATGGAAAAATATATGAAATGGGAAAATAATTTAGAGACAATAATGCAAAAACTATATATATATAAGAAGTATTCCATTTGAATGCAAATAAGAACATATACAGATTCACTGAAAAGTGAAATCAACAGCTTTAACCGAAAAGCAACAACACTCGTATGCAAACTTTGTGCAATATTCTTCATCTGGGAGTAGTTCCCGTACATCGTCAGGTATGTGTCCTAACAGGATACAAATACAGTCCTGTCTTTCTAGATTATCTAGTGTGACGTACAGTTCAACGGGAAAATTGTTAACAATATTTGTGAAAAAATCATCACGCAAAGCAACCAAATCTGGATGATTACAATCAAGTAAGCAATGTGTTATAGCGTCCGAAGACCTCATATTACATTTGGCACATAGCAGCTCACAGTTTGGACTTATTAACCATAACTTTGCCACACTACTACAAATATGAGACTGATTCGAGGAAAGCTGTTTCCACAAAAACCACAGAGACGATGGGCGAAGTTCCCCGTGCAAATTTTGGAATCGATGAAAATCAGGACAGCTGAATAAGCGCTCATACCATTCTGATTGTTCATGGGAATGGATGACATTCCTGACAAGAAATTTCCAATACTTCTTAGAAGGGAAAGCAGACTCATTCAAAAACGAGTGTAAATACTCTTCTAAACCAAATTTATGAATTATAGACCAGATGTCGTATATGACTCCCTTAACACTTTTATATACACACATGTGTTTCTGAAACAACCGCAATAAAAATAGTTGTTTTACAGTGGTTGAAGATCTCAGGCGACATAGGGAACCAAAGAATTGGAGTTTAGACTGTTCTACCTTCGCCTTTAATGAAGTGAGCCCCAACATACCTAGTGCCATGTCAGAACGAGTTCTGAAAGGGAAACACTGGATAACTTTGGCACAAAAATGTTGGATGATTTCTAAACGTGACCAATCTTTTAGACTTAATGAAAACCACATTTCTGAGCCAAATAAACCGCACGGAATTGTTACTGAACGAAACAGTTTCAGGCCAATGAGGGGGTTTACCGACTTTCCTAATAGCCCTCCATTTAAAAAGGAAAAGCAAGAACTTCTAAATTTGTGGAGTATATTTTCGATATCTGGACGACCAAATTTGAATTTGTCTAGAAATATTCCCACGTGTGTGGTATGTTGGGATTCATTCACAGCCTCACTCCCCAGATACCAGTTACGTGAGGACCTGGCAAAGCTAGTTTTTGACTCGTTAAAAACTATAATACACGTTTTTGAGGCATTATACTTAAACCTCCATCTACAACTATACCTGTAACATATATTCATCAAAATATCCATATTACACTTGTTAAAGGATAGAAGTACAATATCGTCGGCCTGTGTCGGGCAAGTAACGTTTACATCTTCTATCATCAGGGATACATTTGAATTACATAATTCTTCCAACAGATCGTTTATGAATAGTGTATACAGCCATGGTGATAATATACTTCCCTGCCTAGTGCCTTGCTCTATAAGGAAAGAATCAGAGACAAAACCTTGGTATACAACCGCACTTTGCATATCATGATACATAGAAGCTAATACTTTGATGAATTTAATATCAAACTTCAGATCAGATAATTTCATAAACAATCCATTGTGCCAAACACAATCGAATGCCTTTGCTGCATCAAGAAAACAAGTGAATAATTTGTTATTTTGTTCACCGGCGTACGTGATCGCTTCATGTATCATGAAAGAGGTCATAGTGCTGCTAACATAAGGCTGAAAACCATTCTGTAGTGGATTAACGACAAAACGTTTGGTGGACTCAAGTCTCAACAGAAAAAGCTTCTCAAAAACCTTTAAAATTACAGGCAAAAGAGATATTGCACGGTAGCTATTCGGGTCACACTTAGGCTTGTTATTGCCTTTATATAGTGTAATGATTAGTCCCTTTTTAAAGCTTAAGGGAAAAAACTCATGAAACATAATAGCATTAAATAATTTCGTCAAACAGTGATACAGATGTTCACCTCCATTTATGAAGTGTTCATAAACTAAGTTGTCATGACCAGGTGCCTTACCTAACGGTAATTTCTTACAAATTGCTTTTACTTCATATGCTATAAAGCTTCTGAAATGCGATGATACTGAGGGCTGATCAAGAATAGTTTTCATTTTAGAGTCAACAAACATTTTGAAAGCGTCATCATAATCTGCGCTTTCAGATTGTTTATACAAAGATGAAAAATATGTACCCCAGTGAACTACAAGTTCTTGTGGGTTTCGGACTGTCTGGCCATCGAAAATCATCTCTGCACTCGCTGTGCCCTCACTACGTTTACAACGACGTTTTACTAGTGTCCAGAATGTTTGCTGATCTACCTCAGCCGCTTCTGCAACGTCATCATTCTGTTTCTGTAGATGTTCCTCTGACAGCCGACGATGAGCCCTACGAAAATTGCACTTTGCTTCTTTATACAGACGAAAGGATTCAGAGTTGTCACCCCGTGGACGACCAAGCTTAACCCAGACACAACGAAGATTCCACATTTTTTTATGTAGGTCCTTGAGTTGGCCTTTCCAATATGGTTTAAGGAACGTCCGAAATTTCTTTACATGTAGAGATGTTAGGGAAGCCTCTTTAATCACTCCAACGAGATCAGATGTGAAGGTTTCAATTTCGTTACAAGTCGAAATATCACGTTCAACTAGACCTGAGACACGCAATAGACGTTCAACAGTATTACGATATACATCAGTGTTTCTATTGTTACCAGCTGTGATCCACTTGAAAGATGTTCTTTCCAAAGTGTTTGCGGAATTGGAGTTATGTAAAATTCCCTCTGGAGTACGTATGACAAAGAATATGGCTCTGTGATTAGAGACGTCAAGAAAACTGTCGTCAGAAGTTTTACACTCAGTGACCAGATCAATCTTTCCTGAGTCAACCATGACGTAGTCCACTAGGGAGCATGCGGCATCGTCACCATGCACATAGGAGTTTACAGGGCCAAGGCAAGTAGACAGTGTGTTGACAGCAGTTAACTGGTTCAGATCCAAGAAATGTTGCAGAGCAATGCCTTGAGGATTCGGACCGGTACTTACACGAGGACCACTCAGATGGGCATTAAAATCCCCCATAAATATAACAATTCCACCTGCAGAGAGTCTTGTGTACAGTTCATCGAGCTTGTCAACATATGAGCGGAACAAGTCCATTCCATAACGCATTGTTGGAAAATACACCTGGACTACATAAAAGACAGTATCCTCCATGACAACTTTAATTATAGCGATACGATCGTCATCAGAATCAATAACAACTGTCATATCGGATAGACGCTTGCGCCACATCAGCGCAACACCACCTTTACGCGTTCTTCTGTCAGCATGTGGATGTGAGGAGAAATCACATATAACATGAGAATCATATGAATTGTGGATGCTCTGAAATAAGTGGCTGTTTTCCTCAAAGAGCCAGTGTTCCGATATGCCACATATGTCAACATCATGCCGATTCAGTGCGTTGTGGAGATGAAATCCAGACGACATAATTCCTGTCGCGTTCCATGTCATAATGCGGAGATTTCCCATGCATAAAAGGGTAAATAGACAAAGAACGAATCCGTTCGTATTACGGTCATTCATTTTGACCGTGCTCTTCTGTACTCTGTGCACTCTCGCCATAAAACCGGGATTGACTCATCCACTTACGACATCGGACTCCCCCAGGCCAGAAATCACGCG